CACTTGCATCCTCCCAAGCCTAAACCAGGAAGAAGGCAAAACCCTGAATAGACCAATAATGAGGTCTGAAGTTGAGGCAGCAATTAATAGCCTACCAATGAAAAAAAGCCCAGGTCCAGATGGGTTCACAGCCAAATTCTATGAGACATACAAAGAGGAGCTGGTACCACTCCTTCTGAAACTATTCCAAACAATACAAAAAGAGGGAATCCTTCCCAAATCATTTTATGAGACCAATATCATCCTGATACCAAAACCCGGCAGAGACTCGACAAGAAAAGAAACCTTCTGGCCAATATCCATGAGGCACACAGATGCAAAAATTTTCAATAAAATACTGGCAAACCGATTGCAACAGCACATCAAAAAGCTTATCCATCACGATCAAGTAGGATTCATCCTGGGGATGCAAGGCTGGTTCAACATATGCAAGTCTATAAACATAATCCACCAGATAAACAGAACCAAAGACAAAAACCACGACTGTCTCAATTGATGCAGAGAAGGCCTTTGACAAAATTCAACAGCGCTTTATGCTAAACTCTCAAGAAACTAGGTACTGACAGAACGTATCTCAAAATAATAAAAGCTATTTATGACAAACCCACAGCCAATATCATACTGAATGGGCAAAAACTGGAAGCAGTCCCTTTGAAATCTGGCACTAGACAAGGATGCCCTCTCTCACCACTCCTGTTCAATATAGTACTGGAAGTTCTAGCCAGAGCAATCAGGCAAGAAAAAGAAATAAAGGGTATTCATCTAGGAAAGGAGGAAGTCAAATTGTCTCTATTTGCAGAGGACATGATTGTATATTTAGAAGGCCCCATCGTCTCAGCCCAAAATCTCCTGAAACTGATAAGCAACTTCAGCAAAGTCTCAGGATACAAAATCAATGTGCAAAAATCACAAGCATTCGTCTACACCAATAACAGACTTAAAGAAAGCCAAATCAAGAACGAACTGCCATTCACAATTGCTACAAAGAGAATAAAATACCTAGGAATACAACTAACAATAACAGTCCTTTACATCCTTTACAAAGGATGTCCTTTGTAAAAATTGTAAAGGACCTCTTCAAGGAGAACTACAAAGCACTGCTCAACAAAATAAGAGAGGACACAAACAGATGGAGAAACATTCCATGCTCATGATTAGAAGAATCAACATCGTGAAAATGGCCATACTGCCCAAAGTAATTTATAGATTCAATGCTATTGCCATCAAGCTATCAATGGCCTTCTTCATAGATCTGGAAAAAACCACCTTAAACTTCATATGGAACCAAAAGAGAGCCCGCATAGCCAAGTCAATTCTAAGCAAAAAGAACAAAGCTGGAGGCATCATGCTACCTGACCTCAAACTATACTACAAGGCTACAGTAATCAAAACAGCATGGTACTGCTACTGAAACAGAGATATAGACCAATGGAACAGAACAGAGGCCTTAGAGGCAAGGCCACACATCTACAACCATCTGATCTTTGACAAACCTCACAAAAACAAACAACGGGGAAAGGATTCCCTGTTTAATAAATGGTGTTGGGAAAACTGGCTAGCCATGTTCAGAAAGCAGAAACTGGACCCTTTCCTGACACCTTACACTAAAATTAACTCCAGATGGATTAAAGACTTAAACATAAGACCTAACACCATATAAACCCTAGAAGAAAACCTAGGCAAAACCATTCAGGACATAGGCATAGGCAAGGACTTCATGACTCAAACACAAAAGCATTGGCAACAAAAGCCAAAATAGACAAATGGGATCTAATTAAACTCCAGAGCTTCTGCACAGCAAAAGAAACAGTCAGAGTAAACCAGCAACCAACAGAATGAGAAAAAAATTTTGCATCTACCCATCTGACAAAGGGCTAATATCCAAAATCTACAAAGAACTAAAACATATTTACAAGAAAAAAAACAAACAAACCCATTCATAAGTGGGTGAAGGATATGAACTTTTCAAAAGAAGACATATATGAGGCCAACAAACATGAAAAAATGCTCATCATCACTGGTCATTAGAGAAATGCAAATCAAAACTACATTGAGATACCATCTCACACAAGTTAGAATGGGGCAATCATTAAAAAAATCTGGAGATAACAGATGCTGGAGAGGATGTGGAGAAACAGGAACACTTTTACACTGTTGGTGGGAGTGTAAATTAGTTCAACCATTGTGGAAGACAGTGTTGCGATTCCTCAAGGACCTAGAAATGGAAATGCCAGTTGACCCAGCAATCCCATTACTGGGTATATGTATCCAAAGGATTATAAATTGTTCTATTATAAGGACACATGCACAGGAATGTTCATTGCAGCACTGTGTAAAATAGCAAAGACCTGGAACCAACCCAAATGCCCATCGATGATAGACTGGACAGGGAAAATGTGGCACATATACACCATAGAATACTATGCAGCCATAAATAACAATGAGTTCATGTCCTTTGTAGGGACATGGATGAACCTGGAAACCATCATTCTCAGCAAACTGACACAAGAATAGAAAATCAAACACCACATGTTTTCACTAATAGGTGAGTATTGAACAATGAGAACACATGGACACAAGGAGGGGAGCATCACACACTGAGGTCTGTGGTGGGGGAACTAGGGGAGAGACAGTGGGGACTGGGGAGTTGGGGAGGGATAACACGGGGAAAAATGCCAGATATAGGTGATGGGGAGGAAGGGAGCAAACCACATTGCCATGTATGTACCTATGCAAAAATCCTGCATGTTGTGCACATGTACCCCAAAACCTAAAATGCAATAAATATTAAAAAAAAGAAAAGAAAACATATATGGTACACATCCATGGACCATGAACCCACCTGAGTAAAGAAGGAAGTCCTGCCATTTGCAACAACATAGGTGAACATGGAGGACATTATGTCAAGTGAAAGAAGCCAGGCACAGAAAGACAAATACTGACTGATCTCATATCATCAGAGGTATGTGAACCAGAGCAACTCTATCTTAAATAGGAGCTGGGTAAAATGAGGCTGAAGCCTACTGGGCTGCATTCCCAGATGGTTAAGTCATTCTAAATCACAGGTGAGATAGGAGGTCAGCCCAAGATACAGGTCCTAAAGACCTTGCTAATAAAACAGACTGCAGTAAAGGAGTTGGCCAAAACCCACAAAAACCAAAATGGTGACGAGAGTGACCTCTGATCGTCCTCACTGCTACACTCCTATTAAAAACGTGTGCTTTGAATGAAGAGACCCCCTCTGTAAGGCCAGTTGCCTCTCCAGGAGGCCAGACACACCCACCTCTGCACTCAGCACCTGACTCCGGCACCAGGCTCTGCACTCTGCACCTAGCTCTGCCACATGGCTCCCCTGGAAGGCTCCAGCTAATGCTCTCACTGGAGAGAGCTGGCTAATGCTCTCTCCAGCAAATCCTGGCTGGCTCTCGCACCGGAAAACCCGCCCAACAACTCACCAACCAATGGCGGCCCACCACGTCCCAGTCCTGCTCCCCTCGAGCCAATCAGAGCACCCAGCTGTTGCTTGTTCCTCATAGCCATAAAAACCCCCCACCCCAGGAAGTCAGCGTGACTTCTCTGGCCCCCTTTCCCTGGACCATAGAACCTCGCCCGGGAGCTGAATAAATTGGCATTTAATTTTCTTATACGGGCCTCCGTTTCCTCATTTTAAATTCAGCAATAACCCTTACAAGTGGTGCCGAAACCCGGGAGATGTTCAAGACCCCTCCTGGGGGAAACTGACTCCTCTACCATAAGCCGAACCAGGGAGCCACCACCCCTCCAATCGTCTGCAGCCATCACTAGGTAAGACTCCTATTGCCCATAACCCCATCCTCTGTTTGCTCTGAACTCACCAACCAATGGCGGCCCACCACGTCCCAATCCTGCTCCCCTGGAGCCAATCAGAGCACCCAGCTGTTGCTTGTTCCTCATAGCCATAAAAACCCCCCACCCCAGGAAGTCAGCGTGACTTCTCTGGCCCCCTTTCCCTGGACCATAGAACCTTGCCTGGCAGCTGAATAAATTGGCATTTAATTTTCTTATACGGGCCTCAGTTTCCTCATTTTAAACTCGGCAATAACCCTTACAAGTGGTGCCGAAACCCGGGAGATGTTCAAGACTCCTCCTGGGGGAAACTGACTCCTCTACCATAAGCCGAACCAGGGAGCCACCACCCCTCCAATCGTCTGCAGCCATCACTAGGTAAGACTCCTATTGCCCATAACCCCATCCTCTGTTTGCTCTGAACCTTGGGGTACCCTGTCTGTAATCACAGCCGCATCAGCGACTCCTTTCCGTCTCCAGCTGTGGGTCTCACGGAGATGTCCCGGTGCCCCTGCTTGCCCATCCCGGAAGACAGGAATATTGTAGAGACGTCCCTATACTCCTGTCCTTCCCCATAATCTCCAGTACTCAGGTGTTGAGGTCCGGGACACCATTCCTCACTCCTGACTACTCCGTGACTGAGAGTGGACTATGGGTAATCAGGAGTCCCGCCTAGACTCCAAGTCACCATTGGGATGTCTAGTCCAAAATTTACCCAGGCTGGGCCTCTCCATAAAAAAGAAAAGGCTGCTTTTCCTCTCCACTGTGGCCTGGCCCCAGTATCATCTGGACAACCAGTCCAAGTGGCCACCAGAGGGAAGTTTCAATCTTGGCATTCTAACCAATTTAGACAATTTCTGTTAAAGAAATGCTAAATAGTCAGAGGTCCCCTATGTTCAGGCCTTCTGGTATCTTCCCTCCCGCCCCACCCTCTGTTCCTCTTGCACCACCACTCAGGTGCTCCTGGCCAAAGAAACTCCCTCACTTCCCTCGGCCCCTCCACCATCCTCCTCCTTTTCCGACTGCGACCTGCCTGAAGAACTCTCCTTTCCACCCGCCCAACCCACAAACCCTCCGCCATATGCAGAACCTCATCGCCCTCCAGCTCCTCCTCTTCCTAGTCCCAACCTAGCCTCTCCTGTCAGTGCTCACACCCGCTTGTGCTGTGCTAATGATGAAACCTCCTTCCTTTGCCCCCTTCGCGAGGTCGCCGGAGCAGAAGGCGTTGTTCGCGTACATGTTCCCTTCTCCCTCTCTATCAGCCATTGAAAAACGCCTAGGGTCATTTTCCACCAATCCTAGTGCTTACACCAAAGAATTCCACTACCTCACCCAGGTTTATGACCTCACCTGGCATGATACCTATGTGATTCTATCCTCCACTCTCACCCCAGATGAGCATGACTGCATCCTTACAGCAGCCCGGGTGCATGCAGATCAGGTACATCTCACAGATAATCAAATGTCAGTAGGTATGGCAGCAGTCCCCAAGGCTGACTAATCAGAACTATCAAACTGGTCAAGATGGTCGCCACCACCGCTGAGAACAAATGCTACAGTGCCTCCTAGTGGGCATGCAAAGCACAGCCCAAAAGGTAGTTAATTATGATAAGTTAAGGGAAATAACTCAAGGTTCTACTGAAAACCCCACCATCTTCCTTGACCAGTTAACTAATGCTATGATCCTTCATACCCAGCTGGACCCGGCCTCTTTACCAGCCATACATTTCATCTCTCAGTCAGTGGCTGACATTAGAAAGGAACTTAAAAATGCTGAGGAGGGCCCCCAAACTCCCATATGAGACCTGGTATTTAGTTTTAATGGCCGAGAGGAAAAGGCTGAGGCCGCCCGCCAGGCCCATCTACAGCAAAAGGTAAGCCTCCAAACCCAAGCTCTTGTGGCAGCCCTGAGGCCGGCAGCCCACCAGGCGCCTGGTGGAGGGTGTCCATCAAAACCCACCAAGAACTCCAGAGGCATTCCACCTGGGCCCTTTTTCAAGTGCGGTCAGGAGGGACACTGGGCACATCAGTGTCCATGTCCCTGACCACCTACCAAGCCCGGCCTGGACTGCAAGCAGCTTGGACATTGGCGCAGTGATTGCCCATCCGGACTACAGGCCCAACCCCCACACCTCTACTCTATGTGGAGGGCAGGCCGGTCCACAGAAAGCAATCCCATCGCTTGAACTTCTCGGCCTTCTGGACTGACACAGCCCGGACTCGAAGACCCCCATCACCCTTGCCGAGCCCAGGGTAATGCTGAAGGTAGTGCGTAAGTCCATTTCCTTCTTAGTGGACATGGGGGCTACCTATTCTGTATTGCCTTCCTACTCAGGACCTAGCATACCTTCCCAGGTTTCAGTCATGAGAATTGACGGAAAGCCTTCCTGTTCTAATCAAACCCACCCTTTAGCCTGTGTCCTTGAGTAACACCTCTTTTCCCACTCTTTTTAAAATTATACCCTCGTGTCCAGTCCCCCTTTTAGGATGAGACATTCTCCAGACTCTGGGGGCCACTCTTCAACTCACTGGCCCCTCCACACTCAAGCCCATCATCCGCCCACCTCCTACTGCCACTCCTAACCGACACCATGCCCTGTCTTAACTCTTCGTCCCAACCCCCTATCCCTCCTGACATAGTTAATCCCCTGGTATGGGATACCTCCAAGCATGTAGTGGCCAAACATCATCCCCCGGTTAAGATACTTCTCAAAAATCTTACCCACTTTCCTTCATGTCCTCAGTTCCCCATCTCGAAGGCCCACCATCAAGGCCTGAAGCCTATCATCACTCGCCTGCTAACCCAGGAACTACTTATTCCCACCAGTTCCCTTTGTAACACTCCTATCTTGCCGGTCCAAAAGCCATCTGGTGGCTACGGCCTGGTTCAGGACCTGCGCCTTATTAACAAGGCGATGGTACCCCTCCACCCTGTAGTCCCCAACCCATACACCCTATTATCAAACATTCCCTTCACTACCTCTCATTTTACAGTTCTTGACCTCAAGGATGCCTTCTTTACCATTCCCCTTCACCCCAAGTCCTACTTTCTCTTTGCCTTCACCTGGACTGATCCTGACACCAACCTGTCACAACAGCTCATCTGGACAGTCCTGCCTCAGGGGTTCCGAGCCAGCCCTCACATTTTTGGATAAGCCTTGGCAGCCGACCTTGGCCCCTGCCCCCTTCAACTCAGTCTCCTTCTCCAGTACATAGATGACCTATTACTTTGTAGCCCCTCCCTCTCCCTATCCCAACAGCATAATGCCACTCTCCTTAACTTTCTCAGATCTAGGGGATACTGAGTATCTCCCTCCAAAGCACAGTTATCAGTCACCTCAGTGGTCTACTTGGGCATTTGCCTCACCCCCAAAACTAAAAGCCTAACAACAGATTGCTGGAAGGCACTTCTTTCACTGCAGCCCCGGAGACTGCCAACCAGATTCTCTCCTTTTTAGAATTTGTAGGATTCTTCTGCCACTAGATACCTAACTTTGCCTCTCTAGCTAAACCTCTGTACCTGGCAGCTAAGGACACCCCCCCCCCACCACAGGACCTCTCTCCCATCCTGAGGTTGTAAGATGGGCTTTTAAAACTGTCCAAACTGCTTTGTCCACTGCACCCCCACTTCATCTGCCAGACCTCAATCATCCCTTTTATCTGTTCACTGATGAAAAACAGGGCATTGCTGTCAGGTTTCTAACCCAAACCCTGGGTCCTGTGTTCCGCCCTGTAGCCTATTTATTGAAGCAACTTGACCCCATGGTCAGGGGGTGGCAGCCTTGCCTGTGGGCCCTGGGAGCAGCAACAGAACTTACCAAGTAATCTCTAAAACTTACCCTGGGCCAGCCCATCTCAGTGTTCTCTCCTCACTGGCTTACCGACCTCCTCTCCCACAAATCCCTTGCTCACCTAGGGCCCTCTTGTCTACAGGAGTTCCACCTGCTCTTCATTGAGAATCCCTCAGTCAGCCTTCACCCTATTTCCCCACTCAACCCGGTTACCCTGCTTCCTCTTCCATCCCTTCCCCCTTCCCCAGCCCACTCCTGCCCTGAACTAATGGATGCACTTGCCAAACCTCAGGAGGGCCTATCAGACCTTCCCCTGCCTAACCTATACCTTACTTTCTATGTGTATGGAAGTTCAGTATTAACAGCCGACGGGAGGTGAAAGGCAGCCTATGCGGTAGTCACAGATTCAGCCACCCTCAAGGCACGTCGCCTCCCTGAAGGAACCACATCACAAAAGGTGGAGCTCATTGCCCTAACCCAAGCTCTCACACTAGCACAGGGAAAGCGAGCAAATATCTATACCGACTCAAAATATGCTTTTCTTATTACCCATTGCCACTCTGCAGCAAGATCTTTAATGCCAAGTTGACCCCTACCCCTGTTCTCTTCCTTACCACAGCCACACAGCCTGTATACTCACCATCAGAAAAACAGGCCCTTATACTAAAAAGGGGAACGGAATCTAATCAGGGCTGGATCTTCCTGAATAACAGAATCACCCTTCCCCGGGAACAGGCCCCTAAAATTATTGCTGAAATCCACCAGTCCTTACATATAGGGCCTAAGGCATTACACCACTTTGTACAGCCCCTCTTTTTCTTGCCAGGTCTGCAACAAACAATTGAGCAGGTACACAAAGCAAGCTTTACTTGCTCTAAGGTCTCGCCTCAGGGAGGCTTAAGGCCATAGTTTCCCACTCACCAAATGCGCGGGGCAACTTACCAGCCCAAGACTGGCAAATTAACTTCACTCATATGCCCCCTCACAAAAAGCTCCACTACCTCCTAACTTTTGTATATACCTTTTCAGGTTGAATTGAAGCCTTCCCCACCTCCCGGGAGACAGCAGACACGGTGGCCTCCCTCCTTACTCAAGAAATCATCCCTCTCTTAGGCCTACCTGCCACCATCCAGTTGGACAATGGTCCAGCATTTATGGTCCAAATAGTCCAGCTCCTCTCCAAGTCCCTCAACATCTCCCGGAAACTACACATCCTTTACCATCCTCAGTCACTGGGTAAAGTTGAACGGGCCCACGACATCCTCAAAGACCATTTGGCCAAACTTGCTATTGAGGTAAAACTCTCTTGGCCCACACTCCTACCTATTGCCCTGGCCGGGGTCCAGGTCACCGCATGGGGGCCAACGGGTCTTAGCCCCTTTCAATTGCTATACGGCCAGCCTTTCCTGGTTTCTCACAACCTCCCTGTAAACCCCTCTCCACTGGCTTCCTACCTTCCCTTCCTCTCCCTCCTCCGCCACCTGTTAAGGGAACACTCAGTCCACTCCCTCCCTGTTATTCCAGGACCAGAGGACTCCCACCCAGCACCGCCTCTCCAACTGGGTGACAGCATTCTCCTTCGAGAACTCAAACCAGGATCCTTGCAACCCAGGTGGTCGGGACCCCACATTGTTATCCTAACCACCCCCACAGCAGCCAAACTCCTGGGTCACACTCCTTGGTACCATGTGACCCGCCTCAAACTGGCCCCCCAAAATAATCAGTGGAAATCTGAATCCCTGGGCCCCCCGGGAGCCTCTGGGCCTCACCTCTGCCTCACCCATGGCCCCGACCCATCGCCCCCTAACCCTTCAGAGCCTCCTCCTGATGGTCCTTCTGATATCTCCTCTTGAGGCCAACTCCTATGTTTGGCGCTTCTACATCCAGGGATCCTGGACTGATGCCCCACCACCAGGACCCATTATCTTGCACAGGCAAACTGCCAAACAGGCAGATGTCAGTCTACTGTCTCCATCCTCATCCCACATGGTAAAAGCATCATACTCAGTCGGGATCATGGGTTTCACTTTCAACACAGGCTATGTTTTCTATATGACCAAACCAAGGACTACTATCATTGGTGGAATACCACCTACAGGGGGTGCCCATACAGCTCTTGTGTTATCCACAAGCCACAGCCTCCAAGCCGTCCCAACCGCATGCTCACTCGCTTCAGTAATGGTTCCTTAGACTTCAACATCCGCGACCCCTGGCACAGCTGTTGGGATGCAGGCGTGTCTGGTAAAGTCTATGAAGATTATACCTGGAGCCACCCTCAGGGAACACGGCTAATATTCCAGTCCTATACCCACATTGTCTCTTAAACAATAGAACAGCTCAGTTCTGTAAGCCATACAATCCTGCAAAATGAAGCCATCCTAAGTAACCAATTCAAACCCTCAGATAACACCTCTCAGTCTTTCTCTTGGTTAACTCTAGTACAGGAGGGAGCCAACATGTTAAATTTAGCAAAAGCCATGAATATCACCAACTGCTTTTTATGTGCCTTTCTTAGCAACTCCCCCCCACCCCGCCCCCACTTAGCTGCAGTTCCTCTCAGGTCCAGGTTCAATCCATCACAATCACCTAAGGGACCTGGCACCATCTTAATGGATATCCCCTTGTTCCAAGTACACCCTCAAAATTTCTCTTTGCTGTGAGACAGCCAGCAGCTGCAGTCCCAGCTGTAACATCACAGTAAAGGTAAAATCCTCCCTCTACACACCACCAGAAGGATATTTCTGGTGTAATGGAACCTTAACTAAAGTTATTAATGCCTCCTTCCCTTTCCCTTGTGTGCCTGTCACCTTGGTCCTGCAGTTAGAGGTATATGGACAGGCCAAAATTCTATCCCTCCTTCCACCCTCCCCTAATCACTGAGACAGACGAGCAGTCTTCCTCCCAATGGTTGTTGGTCTCTCTCTAGCATCCTCTCTGGTGGCGGCCAGGCTGGGTAGTGGTGCCCTAGGCTACAGTGTCACCTCAGCCACTCAACTAAAGGACAAGCTTTGCATGGCTATTGAAGCGTCGGCCGCCTCCCTGGCCTCCCTCCAGCAACAAATCACATCACTGGCCCAGGTAACTCTCCAGAACTGATGGGAACTTGACCTGCTGACAGCAGAAAAGGGAGGTACCTGTCTGTTTCTTCAGGGGCAGTGCTGCTATTACATCAATGAAACAGGCCTTGTAGAAGAAAATGTCAGCACTCTCTATCACCTCCAAGAGGACCTCCACAAGAAGCAGAATGTATCAGTCTCGCCTCTTAACTGGTGGCAATCCCCCAAGCTAACCTGGCTAACCCCTATTATCACTCCCATCATCATAGTTTGTCTTCTGTTAATGCTAGCCCCTTTTGTCCTCAGGGTTTTACAGGCCAGCATGAGAGAAATTTCCCGGGTGGCCATAAACCAGATGCTACTTCACCCATGTCCAACTCCCAACCAAGGTACCAGCCAACTGACCCTTCTCCCTACTCTGCCCCTATTCAGCAGGAAGTAGCCAGAAAAAAAGCGGCATTCTATATCATCAAAAGGGCCGAAATGTAAAGCTAGTTGCCTTGCCGGGAGGCTGGACACACCCACCTCTGCACTCAGCACCTGACTCTGTACCCGGCACCAGGCTCTGCACTCCGCACCTAGCTCTGCCGCATGGCTCCCCCAGAAGGCTCCGGCTAATGCAATCCTGGCTGGCTCTCACACCAGAAAACCCACCCAACAACCTGCCAACCAATGGCAGCCCACCCCATCCCAATCCCACTCCCCTGGAGCCAATCAGAGCACCCAACTGTTGCTCATTCCTCATAGCCATAAAAACCGCCCCACCCCAGGAAGTCAGCGTGACTTCTCTGGCCCCCTTTCCCAGGACAATAGAACCTCGCCCGGGAGCAGAATAAATTGGCATTTAATTTTCTTATACTGGCCTCAGTTTCCTCATTTTAAACTCGGCAATAACCCTTACACCCCCAAACAGGCTTTGTGTGAGCAACATGGCTGTTTATCACCTGGGTGCATGTGGGCTAAGGCTGAAAAGGGCATCAGCAAAGGGCAGTGGGATAGGAGCTGGTTTTATAGGTTTGGGGTGGGCAGTGGAAAATTAGAGTAAGATCAGTCACAGTGGAGGGGTTAGGGGCAAGGGCTATACATTACCATAAGTTAGTTACAATGGAGGGTGGGATAAGAGTATTATCATAATAACAGTTAAGATGGCAGGGTGGGGTGAGGGGGCTTGTCCTAAAGCGCTGGGCGATTAGGGACAATCAATCAGCTGAGGCAAGCAGGACTTCAGACTTTCAAGCTCCAGGCTTGCATATGGAGACCTGACAACTCCCACCAGCACCATGACAGTTTCCAAATGCCATGGCAACATCAGGAAGTTACCCTTGATGGTCTAAAAGGGGAAGCCCAAATAATCCACCCCTTGTTTAGCATATTGTCAAGAAATAACCATAAAAATGGGCAACCAGCGGCCCTCTGGGCTGCTCTGTCTATGGAGTAGCCATTCTTTTATTCCTTTACTTTCTTAATAAGCTGCTTTCACGTTGTACTGTGGACTCGCCTTGAATTCTTTCTTGCACAAGATCCAAGAAACCTCTCTTGGGTTCTGGATCTGGACCGCTTTCCTGTAACAATATGTGGAATCTAAAGACATCGAACACATCCAAACAGAGAGTAGCAGGTTGGTTACCAGAGCCGGGGGACCAAGGGTGGGGGCAATGAGGTGACGGGTGTTGGTCAAAGGGTAGAAACTTTCCGTCACACCTGTAATCCCAGCACTTTGGGAGGCCAAGGCAGGTAGATCACGAGGTCAAGATATCAAGACCATCCTGGCCAACATGGTGAAACCCTGTCTCTACTAAATACAAAAAATTAGCTAGGCATGGTGGCACATGTCAGTAATCCCAGCTACTTGGGAGGCTGTGACAGAAGACTCGTTTGAACCCAGGAGGCGGAGGTTGCAGTGAGCCAAGAATGTGCCATTGCACTCCAGCCTGGGCAACAAGAGTGAAACTCCGTCTTAAAAAAAAAAAAGAAAAGACTCAGGAAGGAGAACAGGGTCTAGAGACAGAGAATTTAGGACCAATGTGTCTAAAAGAGAAAACACCAAGGTCTGGCTGCAGGGAATCCAAGGCCAATCCAGCTGCCTTCCCAAAGCTGGATCACAAGGAAAACACCTGGGTCTCGGGGCAGGAACCTGAGGCCAATTAACATGCACTTCCTAAAGCAGAACCAAAAGGAAAACCTCATCTCCCAAGCTGAGCAGCAAAGGATCAAAGGCTACTCTCCCTACACCATCTCAGATGGAAAGGGAGAGGGCCTTGGATTAGCTACGGCAACGCAGGGACCATCCCTTCACCTGCATAGGGCACAAATTCACCTCAGCTTTCAATTAACCAGGGACCAAATCCTTCATCCCCATGAGGGATAGCAGATAAAAAACTCAAACAGGAAACAACGCCCACGAGGCCTCGCTGGACCTGCCTGCTCCCACCCTGCAGAGCCCTTTCTCTTTCACAAATCCCTGCTTTGGCTGCTTCGCTCGCACATACCATTCCTCTGCTACTCTGTGAGTTTTGGTCAATTATTTGTTTAAAATGCCAAGGACCTAGACAACTCATACTCAAGACCCTCCACGGCTAAGAGGACGTTCTAGAGGCCTGATGGACAACACAATACTATAGTTACTAATAACGTGTACTTGCAATTTGCTCAGAGTAGATCGTGAGTATTCTCACCGCACACACACGAAACAGTAACTGAGTTGGTGGATATGTCAACGAGCTTGACGGTGGCAAACATTTCACATTGAGTATCTATAGCAAATCACCACGTTGTACATCTTGAATATTTGAAAGGAATGAGCAGCTCCTGTGCTCTCAGATAAATTATACTCAGAGGAAACAGCTGAAGAGTCACAGGTTACTTACCACAGATGGAGAATCCTTGACTCCCTGGAGAGCCTGGGGACAACAAGGGGGCAGAGCAGGAGCTGGTCACAAAATCCCTAACCAGGTTCACAGGCTGGAGAGCAACTGAGTCCCATTCTCTGTGCGTGGCGGTGAGGGGTGAGCCGAGCCTAGGCCTTCCCAGGAGGGTCCTGCACTTCAGGCCTCAGGGTACAGGGAGTGGCAGAGAGAATGGAAGGGGAAAACTGTGTCGAATCAACCATGAGCTCTGGGTAAGAAAGCTGTACTCAGAAAATTCCTACATATAAAATACCTTTTAAATATTAAAAAAATCTCATCTTGCCCTAATTTTTTGGTATAAATTTCATTTCAAAAACTTCCCACCTGTTGTGTGTGGACTAAGGAGAACACCATTTTCAGTGCAGTTTGGATGGACTAAGTGGAAAATGGCAGAAGGGCAAAGGCCTGGGTGAAGGCGCTGAAGAAATCTCAGAGGGAAAAGATTCTGTGGCCAGGCTGGCCCTCACCTTGGAAGGACAGGATCTGTCTCCAGAAAGTGGAGTCCGGGTCCCACATTTACCACTTATCTGAGTTTCTTCCTGCAAGGCTTCCCCACCTTTTTTTTTTTTAAGACGGAGTTTCACTCTTGTTGCCCAGGCTGGAGTGCAATGGCGCATTCTTGGCTCACTGCAACCTCCGCCTCCTGGGTTCAAACGAGTCTTCTGTCACAGCCTCCCAAGTAGCTGGGATTACTGCAAGGATGGTCCCCGTCAGAGCTACGGCACTGAGCCTGAGGCCACCCGACATTTCTTCCTCCTCCTTTTCAGGCCCTTCTTCTTGGGCCATGATTTCTCTGCGCTTGGGTGCTCATCTGCCAGGGAGGGCTGTGGTGCTGGCTCATTCTAGAATCGGCACGTGCTGCTCATGGGGGCTGCAAAGGCTTGGATCCCAGCCCCGCCTCACAAAATCCCTAACCAGGTTCACAGGCTGGAGAGCAGCTGCAGCCCCATCCTGTGTGTGTGGTAGGAAGGGTGGGAGTGCCTGCTCGCCAGACCCTTCCTTTCACTCACTTTGTTCTTCCGGCTGAGCCTTGAGGAAAGGAACTGCTTTTCAAACGCAGCCTGACTTAAGTTGGTTGTCTTTTTCTCTTTTCTTTTGTGTTTCTTTTCTGTACAGATTAGCTTTTCAGGACTGTGAAGAAAAGCAGAAAAACTTATCTTGATTCAGCACAAATGGAACTGTACCATCAAATAATTTTGAAGATTAATGTAATGAACTCAATAGTCACTTTTAAGAAGGAACGACTGAGCAGCCATCACTGGTAGCTGCGGCTCAATCTTCCTGCTCTGCCCATATCTCTGCTGGCCCAATCCCCAGGGAGGCAGTGACTTAGGGATGCTTCCCCAGCCATGGCTGAGGCACCAGGTCCAGAGCCTCAATCCCTGTGGCTGCAGTTGGGACAAAGGGGCTTCCAGGCAACCTCTGAATGATCAAGCCAGAAAGTCAGGCTGGATGGTGCTTCCACTTTCCAGCATACTCACAGGAAAGCAGAGAAAGCCTGTGTGCAAAGAGAAACGGAGGAGGTTCATGAAGAGAAGTGATGGTGAGTTCCACATAGCCCCAAAGAGGCAGGGACCGGCCTCCCAGTCAGACCCCCGAGTTGGCTGGCTCCCTTCCTAGTTTGGCTCCCATGACTTACCAGTGCTAACATATCTAGCCCCTCTCCCCGCCTTTCATTTAAGGATTCTGGCTTTTATAATCAAACTGTCTCTGCCTCACCTCACCACCTTGCTCTCAAGTCCCTTACTTACTTCATCAAATGGCCATGTGAGACATCCTCTGGGTGTGTCCTACCGGAGGGATTTCACCAGGGCTGCCACCATTTCTGCCCTAGGAAGCCTAGCCCTATCGAGGGAAAAAAGCCTTCTCTTTTCTTCCACCATTAATTCATTCAACAACCACTTATTCATCATCTACTGTGTTCCAGCTAAGTGCTGGGAACACCAAAATTAATACACAGTCCCTGACCTCAAGGGGCTTGCTGATGGAGGAAAGAGCCGGTAAGGGGCTGGAGTTCTACATCTCTGTGATAACTGCCCTCATGCCTGCACTAGAATGTCCAGTGACAGACAGAGCAAAGGCAGGCAACAGCCTGGCAGGTCAGGGAATTAAGAACATGCTGACTTGACCCAGAAGTTTCTGCGGTTAATATTCCTTCGTTTCTTTAGGCTGATGGGACTTTTGAGATGAAGCCGGAAGGGTGGCAGGGCCCAGATGGTGCCTCATGTGCCGTATTGAGGGCCTGGGCTTTGTTGTAAGGGGAATGGCACTGAAGGGTTTCCAGTGGAGGAGTGATGATCACTTCAAAAAGACCACTCCGGCTGCTGAGCAGACAATGGACTGGAGGAGAGCAGCCTGAAGGAGGAACACTAGCAGAGGAGCCAGAGAAGAGATGAAGCCACAAAAGCAACATAAACCCTTTGTCTTGTGGGGATGGGGGTTATGTAATGACTGGTGTTTAAATAAAAATGTTTGTTAAAATGATAAAGAAACCATAAAACCAGAAATACACAAAACTTCCAAATCACTAGGGGAAGCAGAAACAAAGCAGTATTGTTTATTCCAACAAAACTCAGGATGGAGAATGAAAACTAAATATCGAGAGAGTATAATAGACTTCCACTTTTGTGTAGAATATAGAAGTCTGTTCTAAGCAAAAAGAACACAGCAGGAGGCATCACACTACCAGACTTCAAACTATACTACAAGGCTACAGTAATCAAAACAGCATGGTACTGGTACCAAAACAGAGATAAAGACCAATGGAACAGAACAGAGGCATCGAAGGCAACACAACATATCTACAACCATACAATCTTTGATAAACCTGACAAAAACAAGCAATGTGGAAAGGATTCCCTGTTTAATAAATGGTGTTGGGTAAACTGGCTAGCCATGTGCAGAAAACAGAAACTGGACCCCTTCCTGACACCTTACACTAAAATTAACTCCAGATGGATTAAAGACTTAAACATAAGACCTAACACCATAAAAACTCTAGAAGAAAATCTAGGCAAAACCATTCAGGACATAGGAGCAGGCAAGGACTTCATGACCAAAACACCAAAAGCATTGGCAACAAAAGCCAAAATAGACAAATGGGACCTAATGAAACTCCACAGCTTCTGCACGGCAAAAGAAACAGTCACTAGAGTGAATTGGCAACCAACAGAATGGGAAAAAATTTTTGCAGTTTACCCATCTGACAAAGGGCTGATATCCAGAATTTATAAAGAACTCAAACAGATTTAGAAGAAAAAATAAACAAGCCCATTCAAAAATGGGCAAAGGATATGAACAGACACTTTACAAAAGAAGACATACATGAGGCCAACAAACATATGAAAAAATGCTCATCACCAGTGGTCATCAGAGAAATGCAAATCAAAACTACATTGAGATACCATCTCATGCCAGTTAGAATGGTGGTCATTAAAAAATCTGGAGACAACAGACGCTGGAGAGGATGTGGAGAAATAGGAACACTTTTACACTGTTAGTGGGAGTGTAAATTAGTTCAACCATTGTGGAAGACAGTGTGGTGATTCCTCAAGGACCTAGAAATAGAAATTCCATTTGACCCAGCAATCCCATTACTGGGTATATATCCAAAGGACTATAAATCTTTCTACCATAAGGACACATGCACATGAATGTTCACTGCAGCACTGTTTACAATAGCAAAGACCTGGAACCAACCCAAATGCCCATCGATGATAGACTGGACTGGGAAAATGTGGCATATATACACCATGGAATATTATGCAGCAATCAAAAACGATGAGTTCGTGTCCTTTGTAGGGACATGGATGAATCTGGAGAACATCATTCTCAGCAAACTGACACAAGAACAGAAAATGAAATACCACATATTCTCACTCATAGGTGGGTGATGAACAATGAGAACACATGGACACAGGGAGGGGAGCACTACACACTGGGGTCTATTGGGGGGAATAGGGGAGGGACAGCGGGGGGGGGAAGCTAGGGAGGGATAGATAGCATAGGAAGAAATGCCAGATGTGAGTGAAGGGGAGGAAGACAGCAAATCACACTGCCACGTGTGTACCTATGCAACTATCCTGCATGTTCTGCACATGTATCCAAAACCTAAAATGCAATTAAAAAAAAAAAGAATATAGAAGTCTGCACAGGCTAAAAGTCCTGCTGAAATAAATAGGTAAAAAAGAGGACATTTACCACCAAAATTGAGAATTTTAAAATCACTGGGCAGCTTTAAAACCAATTCCAGAGAGGGGAGAGCCTTCAGAAATGAGCTGACAACCTCCAACTCTTGCCTTCCTCTGTGGGAGCATTTCAAGCCCAGGTCACCAATATTAAGTGCAAGGGTAGAAACTGATTTCTTTGTACTTCTAGCATCTTTGGTGAATGTTTTTCTCCTCAGGTCTGGCTGATGTCCTGGCAGGTGGTCATTTAACCTTGTTCTCAACATCTCCCTCCCCGATAGGCAAGTCAAGCAATGCACTTGGGTTTATCGATGGAGGACAGAAACTCTTCAGGCCCCAAGTACAGACAGCATTCACCAAAACCCATTTGAAAAAGAATCAAGGAGGGTTGGAGTGGGGGAAGGGAGAGCATTAGGACAAATAGCTAATACATGCTGGTCTTAATACTTAGGTGATGGGTTGATCACCTAGGCACATATTTACCTGTGTAACAAACTTGCACATCCTGCACATGCACCCCAGCACTAAAAATTTTTTTAAAAGAATCAAATAGTAATTCTAGGTCTATAAAATAAAATAACTGGAAATAATAGTGGATGGGTTTAACAACAAACAGACATAACAGAAGAGATAATAAAATATCTGGAACCAAACACGGAAGACAAAAAGGATGGGAAATACACAAAAATGATAAGAGACAGACAGAGGATCAGTAAGAAAATCTAAAACATATTTAACTGGAGTACCCAAAACAGTGGAGAGAATATGGCAGAGGTAACAAAGAGAAAATAACTGAAAACTTTCTAGAACTAACGAAAGACATCAACCTACAGATACAAGATGACCCATGAATTCCAAGTAGGATACATGAAAAGAAATCCACATCTAGAAACATCATGCAATACTATAAAAAACAAAGACAATGAGAAAATCATAAAAAGCATTCAGGGGAAAAGACAGATGACCTTCCAAGGAACAACAGTAAGACTAGCAGGTGACTTCTCAATTGAAGGAGTAAAAGACAATAAGATATCTGTTGAAAGAAAATAACTGCCAATCTAACATTCTTAATCCTGTGAAAATATACTTTAAGAACAAAGGTGAAATCTGAAAATGCTAAGTGTTGTATGATTCCAACTACATGACATTCTGTAAAAGGCTAAACAATGAATATAGTTAAAAAAAAATCAGTGGTTGCCAGGGGTTAGTGGGGAGGAGAGATGAATGGTGAATGGGGCAGAGATGATTGTTAGGACAATGAAACTATTCTGTGTGACATTAGAGCAGAATAACAGATACATGTCATTGTACACTTGTCAAAATGCATAGAATGTACAATGGAATGTAAACTATGAACTTGGGGTGATAATGTCAATGCAGTTTGTGCCACTGTGGTGCAGAATGTCAACAGTGAGGGAAGTTGTGTTTATCGGGAGACAGGAGGTGTATGAGAACTCTCTAGGTACTTTCCACTCAAGTCTGCTATAAACATAAAATTTGTTATGAGAAATAAGGTTTATTAAGTTGAAAAAAGAAGGCAAAATAAAGATGTTTTAAAGCAAACAAACTGAGAGATTCTTCATAGTAGATGCACATTTATTGAAACTGTAAACTATATTTCTGTGTTGTTTATTTGTTGTGAGGTATATAGTAGAGTCTTTATAAATGACATGACATGAGACTTAGAATTTTCCAACAAAAGTGTGAGCACAAAAGGGAGAGTGGGGTAAAGCAAGAGAGAGAGAACAAGCATGGAAAAATGCAGATGGTTGCTGAACCTGGGTGATAGGTTCATAGGAATGTGTTGCACTCTCTACATTCAGTGCATTTGGAAATGTTTGAAATAAAATATTTTAAAAACGAGTCAGTCTAATTTTCCACAGCCTGGGTGCAGAGGCTCACAGCTGTAATCCCAGCACTCTGGGAAGCCAAGGCAGGTGGATCACTTGAGGTCAGGAGTTTAAGACCAGCATGACCAATGTGAAACCCCGTCTCTACTAAAAATGTAAAAATTAGCCAGGTATGGTGGTGTGCACCTGTAATCTTAGCTACTCAGAAGGCTGAGGCAGGAGAATAACTTGAACCTGAGAGGTGGAGGTTGCAGTGAGCTGAGTTTGTGCCATGGTACTCCAGCCTGGGTGACAGAGCAAGACTCCATCTCAAAAAATAAAAATTTCCATGTTAACAGAACAAAGGAGAAAAAAATTATAATATCAATAAATGCATAAAAAGTAATATATTTTAAAATCTAGCAAACAGAAAATCAATTTGATTTGCCAATGGAAATCTAAAAATAATGTAAAGCACAAAAAAGACCAAAAGCTTTCCCATTTAACAATAATACAAGAAATCCAATTTTCACTACTTTGACTTTGTGCCAGAAATCTTAACTGGTATTATAAGGTAAGAAAAAGAAATAAAAGTTATAAGGAATGAAATACAAAAAATAAAATTCTCTGTATTAGAAGATAATATTGTGGGCCAGGTGCAGTGGCTTAGACCTGTAATCCCAGTACTTTGGGAGGCCAAGTTGGGTGGATCACCTGAGGTCAGGAGTTTGAGACCAGCCTGGCCAACATGGTGAAACTCCATCTCTACTAAAAATACAAAAATTAGCCAGGTGGTGCACACCTGTAATCCCAGCTACTCAAGAGGTTGAGGCAGGAGAATCACTTGAACCCAGGAGGCAGAGGTTGCAGTCAACTGAGATCATGCCACTGCACTCCATCCTGGGTTGACAGAGGGAGACTCCATCAAAAAAAAAAAAAAAAAGAATATATTATTGTGTACATAGAAAATCCAAAAGACCCTATAGATGAAATGTCAGAATTCATAATAAAGTTTAGCAAGGTTGCCAAATACAAATTCAATACACAAAATCATTTTTATTTCTATACAGTAACTGTAATTAGCTAGAAAATAAAATTATGTATAATAAAAGAGGAATAAGTAGGAATAAATCTAAGTAAAGATCTACAAGACCTTTAGACATGGTTTCTCATCCATAGTACTTTCTGACATTTGGGGCTAAGTAATTCTTTGTTGTAGGATATTTGGCAGCTTCCCTGCCCTCTGTCCACTAGATGCTTATGGAACCCCACTCCCCAACAACCAGAAATGTCTCCAAACATTGCCAGCTTCTTAATCAGTTTGATTCAGAACCACTCCTTTACATGAAATAAGACCCAGATTAATGGAGAGAGAAATATATACCATGTTCATGGATTAGAGGACTCAAAATTGTAAAGATGTAAATTCTCCCCAAATTGATCTACAGATTGAATGCAATCCCAATCAAAATCCTAAATATTAGTTTGGTGCAAAAGTAATTGCAGTTTTTTATGACTACTTTTTTGTTTGAGGATTTGTTTGTATGTATGTCTATATGAAACTTGAGCTGATTATAAAATGTATTGGTATATTTGTTCTGTCAAGTATCAAAACTCATTAAAGAGCTATATAAACAAATAGGCTAGGATAGAGAACCTGGAAATTAAGTCTACGTAACACTTAATGGCCTGAATTTGTATAAAAGGCCACACTGCAGAGCAGTAGGGAAATTATTATATTTTCAATAAATGGTACTGAGGAAAATGGGTTTCAATAGAGAGAAAAAAATTAAATTGGGCCCCACATAAAACATATACAAAAACCAATTCTAACTGGATCATAAGCCTATATTTGAAAAGCAAAACTATAAAAACTATATAGCTTTTGGAAAAGACATTTTAAAATAATGTAAAAAAGCACTAGTTATAAAGGAAAAGAAAAACAAATTTGACTATATCAAAATTATGACCATTTAAAAATACCATTAAGAAGAATAAAAATGCAATCCACAAAATAGGAAAATATGCTAGCAATACATATAACTTAAAAGGGGTTTATAGCCAGAATACATAAGGAAAATCAATAAGATAGACCAAACATCCCAGCAAAAGAAAAAAAATGGCAACAGTCTTGAACAGATGCTTCTCAAATGAGGAAATCTAACAGCCAATAAAGACATGAAAAGTACTCAGTTTCACTGATAATGCGGAAAATGCTATTATGTAGCGGTCAACTTTATTCAAATGATAATATTATACACCAAGGGTGAAGGAGAATGAGAAACAACAGTATTTCTCCTCCATGCTGATGGAGGTGTAAAGTGAAACAGCCTCTTTGCAAAACAGTTTAATGTTATCCCATGACTCAGCAAATTCTACTCTCAGGTATATATCCTAAGAAATGTGGACTGTGGGAACTAAAATACCAAACTGGAGTGTTCATAATAGCCAAAATGTGGAAACAGCCCAAATCCATTAATAGTGGATTGCTTAAATGATGGCAGTCAAATACAATGGAATACTATAGAAAACAGAAGTTAATACACTGGAGCTATACGCAACAACAGGAAGAAGTCAGTCACACAATGAACTGTACATGTACAAATCTCCAACAGATGAATTTGATGGCATATAAGCCATATCTACCTTTGTTTTGTTGTTTTTACGGAGTCTTGCTCTGTGGCCCAGGTTGGAATGCAGAGGTGTGATCCTGACTCACTGCAACCTCCACCTCTCGAGTTCAAGTGATTCTCCTGCCTCAGTCTCCTGAGCAGCTAGAACAACAGGCATCTGCCACAACGCCCAGCTAATTTTTATATTTTTAGTAGAGACAGGGTTTTATCACATTGGCCAGGCTGGTCTCGAACTCCTGACCTCAGGTGATCCTCCCGCCTTGGCCTCCCAAAGTGCTAATGGTGTTAGCCACTGCCCCCCCACCCCCTACCTGTAAACTAGATCTTAATAAAGATGTTTTTAAAGGATTCAGTCATAAAAGAATAAATGCTTTCAGGCTCTGTTTATATGAAATTCAAAAATAGTCAAGATAAACTAGATTATTTAAGGACACAAAGTTAGCTGATAACACCATAGGGAGAGCAAGGAAGTGAACACTGACAAAGTGAAGGGAGCTCTGGGGCAGGAAAAGCCTGTCTTAGGAGGGGCAGGTTCCCTTTCTTGACATGGCTGGTGATTCCACAGAACGGACTTGGGGACTTGCTAAGCTGTTTATGTGTCATTCTGTCCTCTACGTGTATTTTATAATATAAAGGTGATGATAGTAATAATAGTAGTAGTAATAGTAAAACTATAAACTACTAAAAGACAAAAGTGTGACTAGTTACAAGAGCTTCAGTAGGAAATGAAGTAAATTGCAAGTTAAACGAATATTTGTTCGCTCTGCTCATCTATACCTGCATTTACCGCAAGTTTTGCTCCTGACTCTCGCGGAGGCTTTCTGCCGCTCCTTCAGAATTACACTGTGTGAAGTGAAAGCGAAGCGGAGTGGGCTGGCATGCAGCCTGGCCTTCTCTATTTCTTTAAGTTCTTTTATGGAATGGTCTTTTCCTACAGGAAGAGAAAAAATCAAAATCAACACTCTTAAAGAACTCCCATTGCTCTTGGAGTGAGAAAGTACTTGACAATTAGCGGTCTCAAAAAGATGAGGTCCAGTGGTGACAAAGCACCTGTCTCACGCTGAAGACCAGTTCTCTTCTCTTCGTCCACCTCTTTCTGTCTTTGAAACAGAGGATCAAAAAATGGTGGGACTGTAACCTACAAGAAAAATGAGACTCTTTGAGGACCAGAGTGCAGTCTGCATGAAGCTTTTAAAATGTGTCCTACATAAAGATGAGAACACTAGACCCTGAGGACTACAGAGTGAGAAGGGCAGGAGGGGGCAAGGGTTGAAAAACTGCCTATTGGGGACTATGCTTACTACCAGGGTGACAGGTTCAATCGCACCCCAAACCTCAGCAGCACACAATATACCCATGTAAAAAACCTCTAAGTGTACGTGTGAATCTAAAAGTTGAAATTTAAATAAATAAAATCTGACCTAAGCCTTTAAGTATGCCCTTACTGTACACCAGGACCCAGGGATGTACCAACCCAATCACAGCAGTGGAAGAGTATTGCCTCAGAGGAGGATGTCACAGAGCCTTAAATGGCTGAACCAAGGGAGAGAGGGCGGACCGCCCAGATAGAAGAGACACACTTCTGTTCAGCATTCTACTATGTCACTGCATCAGCCAGTAAATATCTGTGTTGCTATTGTGTGCCACACCCAGGCTAGATCCTGTCCTCAAGGATCTCTCAGTCTAGAACGGCCTTGTCATCCACAATGAAAATTCAGTCCTGAGTGGGGCCAGCTCAGGATCCTGCAGGAGCAGGGCCACTGCTCCTAACCCAGCCTGGGAGGACCCATGCCTCCTGAGGAAACTGACAGCTGGTCTACAAGGGCCTGTGAGAACAGAGGGTGACCAGAGCTGTGGGTTTATGTCAAGGGGGAGGGACATACAGAAGTATATTTTCTCCCTGTTCCAGATCGTAAGCCTTAGAGGGACCATTTTCCCCTTCATTTCCCCCACAGCACTCATCCCAGCGCTGGACCTCAAGTGCTAGGTAAAAGATCACTGAATAAACCAGACAGCATAACATCTACTGCCTCCAGCACCCTAGATGATGAAATTCTACCCAGAACCAAAAGTCTTCATATGGCTGACCCGGCTTGTTTTTCTGGGAGAAGCAAAAGAAACTACTTCCATTTTCAAGAGCCATACATATTTTTTAAAAAATTAGTAGTCATATTAGGTGGCTACTTGTACCACATAGGAGCAAAAAACTGAAACCTACATTTCTCAGTTTTAACTCCTGTATTAGCAGTTTAAAAATCTGAAGACTCATTACAACCTCAAGTATTAGCTCTCCTGGGCAGCCTTTGCTGACATCCCTCCTATATCTCTGGTAGAAAGGAGTGTTCCCTCCCAAGTCCCATAATCCCTGCACTGACTTCTGTGACACACTCACCACACTCCACTGCACAAGCTGCCCACATCTCTCCTTCTTGTGCTTCAAGTTTGCTGAATGTGAGGTAAATGAATGCACCAATGAACAAGTGATCACGTGTAAGCATGCCTTGTGCACAGTGTAAATTCTACAGGAGTCTAAATTACTTTGAGTTCCTCTTCTAAAACTCAAAGGAAATGCTTTTGTACATTTTTTAAATGAATAGAGAGTAACTACAAAACTTCTAAAATGACTAGGTTTTCCCCCACTCCATAGCTCCTAAGAATAAAAAACCCAAGAAACCCGCTCTACCTTTCCATAATTTAGTTTCTTTTTCTTCATATTAAAGGGAATGCAGGCTGGGCGCGGTGGATCCCAGTGTTTTGGGAGACCAAGGCAGGTGGATCACCTGAGGTCAGGAGCACAAGACCATCCTGACCAACATGTCTCTACTAAAAATACAAAAAATTAACCTGGCATGGTGACACATGCCTATAATGCCAGCTACTTGAGAGGCTGAGGCAGGGGAACTGCTTGAACCGGGAGGTGAAAGTTGCCGTGAGCCAAGATGGCGCCACTGCACTCCAGCCTGGGCAGCAACAGTGAAACTGTCTCAAAAAAATTTTTTTTAATTAAAAAAAAAAGGGATTGTATACTTCAGGATCACAATGGTCTTCACATATAATTTCCTTCAGATATAAAATATATGTAACGGAAAATCATTATGTACCAACTGTTTTGCAAGATTCATATGATAAAAGCCAAATACTGTATTTCATTTTTATATAAAAGCATAGCTTCAAAGGGTTGGAAGAAACTGCAGAAGTAATTTAGATTGTGATGAGACTCCACCACCTTCTGGGAGAAGTAATCATCTAGCTTTAGTCTGAAGCCATCCATGGGCCTTTGAGAACCTTCTACTCCGTGAGGCAGGTACTTTTTTTTTTTGGTAATATTAACCTCCAGAAAGTCTGTCCTTAGGCTGAGCTGAAATCTGCCTTGTAAATGCAGTTGCAGATACTAGTTCTGTACATCTAATCCATCATCTAATGTCTGCCTTTATTTATTTATTTATTTATTTTGCATTTTTAACTTATGATGGGTTTATTGGGAATGAACCACAATGTAAATCAAGGACCATCTGCATATTGTATTTGTATGAAATGCATTGAGATTTATGTAAATTATCTATGACTTCAGAATATGCATATTACTTCCAAATGTGTTAACTCATGTTTTTTTAAGAGAATAATGGTATTTTCACACTATGTGGATGTGCTGTAGTAGAATTTTTTTAAGCTACAAAAGTCTATAAATAAATCAACTTAAACTTTTTTGGGAAATAATTTCTACTAAAGATTCATAATCAGCATATTCCTTCAATGACTGTACAAGTTCATCCAGTAGATAATCCCCTTGCGTAAAAGTTTGAAGATCATGCAGTGACTTGCTTATTCTGTGATCTGTGACCCAGTTCTGTGGAAAATTATAAGTTCTTATTTTCTCGATCTTCCTTTACTTCCAATCTGAATTTTTCTAGCATTGTCTCTCTTATTTGTTTCTTCTAGATGCATGCTGTACAGATTTGCACGTAACTTCTTCATAGCCAGCTCTTTATTTTTCAGTTGAGAGCTCTCTTGTTGACATTCAGAAACAACACCTTTTGGAAGATGAACTATCCGGACAGCACTGTCTGTGGTGTTTACATGCTGCCCCCCAGCTCCACTGGCTCACTTAGTGTCAATTCTCAAACCTTTTGGATTAATCACCAGATTCACCTCAGTAGGTTGGGGTAATATTGCTACAGTCACGGTGCTAGTATGGATACAAACTCGCTTTTCTGTCTTTGGCACCCTTTGTACTCTGTGCACACCTCCTTCAAACTTCATATGCTTATAGGCTTCTGAACCCCCAATGCTGGCAGATGCATGTCTAAGGCCACCTATTTCACTTGGAAAATATTCCAGGGTTTCAAAATGCCATCTTTTAAATGCAGCATATCACTGATACATATCAAACATCTCTGAAGTAAACAGCATTGCCTCCTGACCTCCAAATCCTGCAATTACTTCCAGGATCAAATCATTTTCATCTGTTTCTTCTGATGTTTCATCTGAGTTATTTCTTTTTGACACAAGGTTATTTCATTCTCTGCAAGTTTCCTTGAATCTTTATTTTCATTGTGCAGCAAGTGCTTGGTCTTTCGCAGCTCCTGCTCCTTCTCGTTCAGCAGTTTGACTATCACCACCAACTTGGGCCTCCTGACCTTCAAATGAGCTTCGATCCCGCCTGGCGCTCGAGGAAGGTCCGCAAGGGTCCGCCCTGGGCGAACAGCTCCTCCAGCGGCCGGCTATCACCGCTCAGGGGCCAGCGGGCTGCACCAACAGCCCCGCGGAGCCACAGCAACCAGGCAGCACACCACAGAAGACTGGACTGCATCGGTAAAACGAGACCACCATGTCTGCCTTTAAAATACTTAAAAGTTTCATTCCCCCCGTATCATCTTTTCCTTGGGCCAAATACCCCACTTTTTTCCAGTTTTTTTTTTTCCTATAAAGTGGTGTCAAGACTCAACTCTTTTCTAAAGGTTCTGCGACTGATGAATGTCCCTTCGTGTGACATCAGGAATGACAGGATAAGGACAGGATGGACCAAGACTCTGATGCTTCCCACTCTAAGCACAGCCTCTCTTAATACAGCCTGAGAGCTGTGTTTTCTTGAAACCCAGCTCATATGGTTGATTCACAATGACTTTACTGACATTTAAAATCACTTGGACTTCAATGCATGCCATTTCTAAGATCCTCCCCCTCCGATACTTGTGCAATCACATTTCTGGACACAAATATAAGACTTTGCACTTTAAAGATCTGAATTCAGTCTTAAACTCTGCCCCTTCGAGTGTGTAGGAAAAAGGATTTAAGGTAATTATTCAGAAATTGTGCTCAGTAAATATACTTAAATGTTCTAATATTCCAGCTAAACTACTCTAGGGTCTCACTCTGTCACCCAGGCTGGAGTGCAGTGACACTATCATGTGTCTCACTGCAACCTCTGCTTCCCAGGCTCAAGTGATCATCCCACCTCAACCTCCCAAGTAGCTGGGACTACACATACACAATACCACACCCAGCTTTTTATTTGTACAGAGGGGGTTTTGCCATGTTGTCCAGGCTGGTCTCGAACTCCTGGACTTAAGCAATTCATCCACCTCAACTTCCCAAAAGTGCTGGGATTACAGGGGTGACCCACTACATTTAGCCACTACTCTAGATATCTACTAAGTATGCGGGGTGGGGTGGGGGGAGAAAAAAGATCCAGTAGTGCACAGCTAAAGCCAACAGATTTATATTTGGTACTGCAAATAGACAGACCTAAATTCTGAAAGAGTCCTGACCTCAAAATCAAAAGAATCTTCAAATTAAGAAACCAAATTTGTTTTGTAAAGCCAAACTGTAGAAGAGAGTATAGAAACTGTTAGCCCTAATACCTACTGGTTGGCTAACTTAGTCACACAATACCATTCTCCTTTGTCCACTTCCTACTAGAGAGATAAGAATGCCACAGTGGCTTTGCAGGGCCTGCTTATGGCTAGGACTTGCCTCATGACTCAGTCCTGGCCAACAAGACCTAAGGGAAAGTTGGCGAGGGGCCTCTGGGGACTCTTTGCTTCCTACAAAGGAGCAGGGTAAGAGAAGAAGCCCCTGGCACCATTCCTTACCCCTTCTTCTTGCCTTGAATGAAGACCCAATGTCTGGAACTGTAAGCAACCATCAGGCAAATGTGAGAATAATGAGGATAAACTGAAAATACTAAGGATAGCAGAATAGAATAGAAAAAACCTTATATTGTTATGCTGTCAGAACCCACCATGAAACCACCTACCTCTCAATTTCTTGTGAAGTTAATTATAAATGCCTTTATGGTTTAAGCCACAGTAAGTAACTCCATTAATGTCTATATAAAATAATTCCTGATAAATCTAGTTCCAAATCAACAATCCTATCCCCTCCAACCTCAGGCTTAAGAATGCAGTATGTGTATTACAATTCAATGAATTTGTCTTAAATACAAAAATAAGCTGCAGATTACTTGTATAACCAGTGAAACTGTTGGACCAACTCTTCAAATAAAGTATAATTTGAAAAAAAAAAAAACCCAAAAACTCAGTACAATTTTATGTCTGTGCTGCAAATAATATTCAACATTCTCTTGTTTCATTTTCTCCAGCCCTTTATATGAAATTACTTTTTCCATAATTCTCTGCTGAAGAGGCTCTGCAACGTTTTCAACCCATTTTTTATGTAACATCTCTTTTCTTCTTTCCTTAGAAGTATCCAGATGCTGAAAATATGTATCCAATCTCTAGTGAAGTGATACAAACAAGGAAAATAAATTATTAAAAAATTGTTTCACTTATTGTCATTTGAGTAAGGGGGAAAAAAACCTCTTGATCCCACTACTAAGCTCCCAGCCACATTCAGATTGCAAAGTCCCAGTAGAAAATAACTGAATCAAGTGCAGGAAGAGAAGCTGAGAACACAGAGTGGAAGAATTCATATAAAGTTCTAAACCACAACTGTGCCTTCAGATTAAACCGCATCCAACTCATGAATCAGATTAAGCTACTGCTAACTCATTAAACTCTTGTTTCTTTTTCAGGATTTCCAAGAATTCCCTGGTCACCCATTCTGTGTCTAGCCTTCACCATGAGGAAAGTCTGTGACAAAATTTGTAGAGTAGAAAGAGCACTAGACATTCTTTGATACCGCTCTCTGGCCTGTAAAAGACAGGTAATCCCACCTACCTCTCTGGATGCTTAAATGGAAATTTATGTGCACTTTCTTTATAAATTGTAAATTACAGTTCAAATGTCAAAGTTTTCTTCTTTTTTCGTTTAAAAGACAGGGTCTCACTCTGTCACCCAGGCTGGAGTATAGTGGTATGATCACAGTTCACTACAGCCTCAACCTCTTGGGCTCAAGCCATCCTCTTGCCTCAGCCTCCTGAATAGCTGGGACTACAGGTGTGCCACCATGCCTGGCTAATTTTTTTAATTTTCTGTAGTGACAGGGCCTCACTATGTTGCCCTGGCTGGTCTCAAACTCTCAAACTCCTGGTTTCAAGCAATGCTCTTGCATCAGCCTCCCAAAGTATTATTATAACTCTGCCTCTCTCATTGAAATTAAATACCCCTTAAGCTAATTTCACAGTGACTATCAGTTATTGATTGATCATAACCCTTAAAAGCTTATTTTGTTTCTAGTAGTTTTACGTATGCCCACTGCAATGTGGGAACATAAAGAAGCAAGTGTGGGTAGGAAGGAATTTCTATTCAGTCCCAGGATGAAGAGAAGGAGCAATTAGAACAATTTCTCAGATCCCTTCAGGACAGATCCAAGTGGGATTAGGGACCTCTTAGTGATCCTGCAAGAAGGGGGGAATGACCTCAGATCCATGTAGCACAAACAATTCGAGGATCCTCATTCTCCCTGCAAAATGAGTCTCTTGGATCACAGTAACAAACTCTTGGCCATGTTGTTCTGCACACTCTTGCTCCCCTAGAACACTCTTAGAATGTAGTATGGAGACAACTCTTACCTTCACAACAGAATTTTCTCGAAATAATATTGCATGTACTGCTTCATCAATGTCTTCTCTAGCTAATACCTACAATTATAGAATTGAACATTAGGATGCAAATCCTGAAGAAACAAACTATAATGACAAAACTCAGTGTACTTTACCCAATAGTTTTGGTATAAATCTTGAGGCTTATTCTGTAACATACAAATACTGAAAATTTCTAAACCCATTCTCCATGAACCCATCAACCAGGCTCAAGAGTGCCTAACTCAGAGTCAATGTTTCATTTAAAAATCCCTACTCATTTTCAGCACCCCCCAGACTATTTTAAAACCAACCCCTGATAGAATATCATTAAATTATGTTTTAAAGCACTAAGCAGCTTACTGAAAGGATCCTCTATAAAGTGAATCCTCTTTTTGGGCATTCAGTAGGTGTTTTTTGTTCGTTTCTTGAGGCAAAGTCTGGCTCTGTCACCAAGGCTAGGGGGCAGTGGTAAGATCTCAACTCACTGGAATCTCCCCACCCCCAGGGTTCAAGTAATTCTTCAGCCTCCCAAGTAGCTGGGATTACAGGCATGTGACACCACACCTGGCTAATTTATGTATTTTTAGTAGAGACAGGGTTTCACCATGTTGACCAGGCTGCTGTCAAACTCCTGACCTCAAGTGATCAGCCCACTTTGGCCTCCCAAAGTGTTGAGAATACAGGCATGAGCCACTGTACCCAGCCAGTAGTTGTGTTTTGAAGGGCTCTTGAAGTCTCCTACCTTTTGCTAGATCTCTTCATAAGTCAAAAACCACAGAAAGTTTGATTTAGTTCAACTGGTCCAGAGTCTCAGAGCTAATTAGTGGGAGCTCATGGCCTCCAACTGATACCATCCACATCTAGGCACCTGCTGTTTCCATTATGAGTGTGGGTAAAGCTGATGCATTTTAATCCCCATTTTAGGGCTTTTTCAATTGGATCATTACGAACTGATCTCTAGTTTTTATTCTTATAGGACTAAGTACAAACAAATGAAAAGGCAATAAAAATCCAGTATCTGGAAGAGATAATACTATTACAAAAATTATCACTGATGAAAAATGATACAGGTTCTTAGAACTGTTATTCGATCTCTGATTCTTCTTTCTGTTCTGTCACACTGAATGCATCAAAATAAACTAAACCCCAAACTCAAATACCAAATCTGTGAATAAGAGAAATCTCAAAAAGGAAAAGTTGTTCTTTTTACCCTTATATTAAATAGCTTCACATGAGATCTAAAAATGGCATTCCAATAGCTACCCAGGTCTTCTCTAAAACAAAGCTTTCTTTGTAATATAAACAGGATCTTGCTTTAAAGCCTTCTCAGACTTATTTTAAGATGACAGGCCAGGCAGGGTGGCTCATGCCTGTAATCTGAAGGGCTTTGAAGGTCAAGGCAGGAGCATTACTTGAGCCCAGGAATTTGAGGTTACAGTGAGCTGGGTCACTGCACTCCAGCCTGGGTAACAGCAAGACCCTATCTCTAAAATAATTTTAATTAAAAAGATGGCAACTAAAAAAATATGTAAAACAATTAAACATGTACCCTGACACTACAATATACATTTAGAATCGATCAGTTTATTTGGAGAAGTAGAAACATGTTAACAAGCATCTTGGGAAGTCACCTTTTTAAAGAACATCCTAGTAAGACTGTTAGCAAATGTTACGTACACTCTCAAGTCAGATTCCCAAGTAATCTCTTTTTGTTTAAAGAAATTAAACAGTTTTTGTCTTTGATGGCTCTTCTTTGTGATTTTGCCAGAAAACATAAGGAAAAGGTCATGATTTGCGGCAGCACTTCCGAAATCCAGCACACACAAAAAACTAAGCTTCTCAACTACTCTGACCTCCACTAGGGCAATGGGGGAAAAATAAAAGATACTTCCAGGTAAAAATAAAAGATACTTCCAAGAGTTTTTCACAGTGAGGTAAATCACAGAATGATACAAAATAATGAAACTTTATGAGAAAATCATTACCAGACCCCGAAGTATGCGGAATTGACTGGCAAGCCCAGACGCGGCTTTTCCTGCAGGGGAGCTGGGGTTGCTGCCTTCAACCGCCCGCCCGCCCAGCTGATGCGCCGGCCCCAGCCGGTGTTAACATTTCCTGACAGTCTTACTAGGATGTTCTTTAAAAAGGTGACTTCCCAAGATGCTTGTCAACATGTTTCTACTTCTCCAAATAAACTGATCGATTCTAAATGTATATTGTAGTGTCAGGGTACATGTTTAATTGTTTTACATACTTTTTTAGTGTAATGAACTGGGAACACTCTAGACCGCACTCTCGGAGCCCGGAGCATTTCCCTTCAACGCCAGGCACTGTCCCAGTCCTGAGAACAGAAGCGTGATTAAGATAAACAGTTCCCAAACTCGAGGGGTCCCACCGCCAAAACGACGTCTCAACACGCCTGGTTATTTCACCTCCATTAAAGAAACGAACTCAGGCTCTGGACATTCTCTTAATTTTTCTGGCCTGAAATGTTCATCATAACTCGAAGTTTTGGGGGCAGCCATGGACAGAAGAATCCCTGAAGGGAGAAAAGGTAAACTGAGGCTGAGGAAGCCAGTTACCGTTGAGAGCCAGGCCTGGGGGCTCGGGGCCGTTCGAATTCCGCTCGGCCCCTTTCTAGCTGAGCCGTCACCCAACAAACCGGGATCCTCGGCGCCCCGGGCGCTTCAACAGCGCCGGCTACTCGGGCCCGTGTAGTCCTCGGGCCAAAGCGGGTCCTTCCCCCGGGCCGCGCCGCCCTGGCCGTGGCCACGGCCCTCCCTGGGCTCCGCGACCCCCAGGCCCGCAGGCCTCCCCCGGCCCCACCTCAGGCCAGCTCCGGGGGTAGTCGCAGGCCCCGCGGCTCCGTCCGGGTGTGGCTCCCCAGCGGCCGCGTCCAGGAGCTGCTGCGAAAGAAGGAGCCCTTGGGCCCGTGCGTTGGGGGCGCATGCGCCGCACAGGCCCCAGGTTGCGACCACGAAGCCAGCTGGACCGTGACGCTGATGATGTCCGGGGAAAGGGAAGGCGCCATTTCATTTCACAGCAAATGGAAACGCGGTAATGAAGCCTAGAGCCTGGCCCTCGGGGCGCCCTCCCCTCGCGGCGCCGGCGGGCAGACAGACGGGCCTTCAACCACCAAGACCCCCACCGCCATTCTGGACTTTCACAGAGGCATGTACATTAATAGTAAAGAGAATTTACCATTTACCTGTAAGATTGAGGGCGACAACGTAAGAGAGGAATGGTTTTTAGCTCCGCGTCTGGCGTCTTACCCGCTCCCACTGAAGGGCGAAGGTGCCACAGGTGGACCTGGTTTGGATTCTGATGTGAAGAAACCGACTTCAAACCATGTGGGCCAATCAGGAAAATACGAAACACTACGTATTTAGTGATATCTAGGAATTGTTAATAGCTTAAGGTACAGTATCACAACCAAGATTTGACATTGGTGCTATCAAGATACAGGATATTAACACCACTACAAGGATTACTCTGTTTTCAGCCAATGTTTTTTTCAAGTTTTTTTTTTTTTAAGTCCTGCCTGTTTCTCTCGTCCTTTGGGATTCTGATGACATGAATATTATTATAGCCCGTAAGCCTCTGTTCTTCTCCCCCACCTCCTGCCCTCAGTCTATTTTCTTATTTTTTTCAGATTGGGTCATATCTATTGTTCTGTCTTCCAGCTCATGGATTATTTCCTCCATCTTCTCCATTCTACTGTTGAGCTTATCTGCTGAGCTTTTTATTTTGGTTATTGTAATTTTTAGTTCTACGATTTTCGTTTGGTTCTTTTTTATATCTCCTGTTTGCTCAGAGTTAATTTTTCATTTGTTTCAAGTGTATTCATATTTGCTCATTGAAGCATTTTTCTCATAGCAACTTTAAAAGTCTTTGTGGGCTTATTCTAACTCTTTGTCATCTCAGTGTTGGTCTCTATTGATTGTCTTTTTCATTCATTTCAAATCTTCCTGGTTCTTGGTATGATTATCTTTTATTGAAGTCTGAATATTTTCAGTTTATATTATGAGATTCTGAACCTTACTTAAGCTTTCTGTTTTAGCTGGCTTTCTCCAACACCAATCTAACATGGTGAATGAGGTTACCATATCATTACAGCCAGGTGGAGATAGGAATCCAGGTACCCCAGCTGGCCTTTATTGATACTTGAGGGGCCAGAGTTCCTTATAACTGCTGTGTAGACCATGATTTAGAGATTCTATTCAGGCTGAGGGCCCATTCAGCAAATTAGTTCCTTATATGGAATAATCTTCTCGAGAAAAGGAGCTGAATCTATCTTACCTTTACATGTTTCTCATAACATAGGACCATCCATGACTGACCCAAATAGCAGGCAAACAGAAAATTGCTGTTGAGTAAACCACGCAGAAAGGTATAATACACTGATGGCTTAAACTACACTAAGTATAAGCAAAAGGCGATTCAAAATAGGATTTATAATTTCTACCTAGCTGCTTCCTTACTTCATTTGAAAACAAAAGTTTCCCTGATTGGTTACTGAATCAAATTATTTCAATTTCATATGATCTAGAAGCTTATCTGAGCATTTGTCTGTTTACTTGATGTTCCCTGGCAATGGCTTTTTTATGTGGTGGAAATAAAAATTCTCCTTTCAATAGGCAGCGCTTCACTGAGTCTTTACCCAGGCTCTTGCTGCAGGCCCTGTATCTCTTTCTATATACTACAACTAAGTCAGTTAATCTCACAGTATTAAAATCTTTGGTTTACTATCTGTTTCTCCCACTAACTTTAGGGCAGAGGGCCTATGTCTGCTCATCTTTATATCACCAGAACCTAGTAGAGCATCTGGTAAAAATAGGCACTTAAATACTTACTAAGTGAATGATGAATAAATAAATGATTGAGACATAATCCCCACATCTACATGAAATGAAATTTCAATGTCAACATATTAAAAAAAACATTTAAAACACTGAACACTCGTTTACCAAGAGAGCATCAAACCTTTTGAAGCTTTGCAGTAGGCCCCTGGTTGCCATTTTGGCCTGGCTAGTATTTTTAGTCATTTATAACTGTAACAGAAAAAAGCATTTCTATCCAAAAAGTCTCTTTAAATAAAAAAATCTATGCCAGTCATGGTGGCTCATGCATGTAATCCCAGCACTTTTCGAGGCCAAGATGGGAGGATCGCTTGAGGCCAGGTGTTCAAGACCAGCCTGGGCAACACAATGGGACCTCGTCTCTACAGAGAGTTTAAAAATTTGCTGGGCATGGTGACATGCACCTGTAGTCCCAGCTACTCAGGTAGCTGAGGCAGGAGGATCACTTAAGCCCGGGAGGTTGAGGCTGAAGTGAGCCATGCTTGCATCACTGCACTCCAGTTGGGAGACAGAAGAACACCTTGTCTCAGAAAACAAAAATCCCAGTGTTTGTGAAGTGTATATATTAACCTTAACCACAAGAACAAAAATTTTTTTTTAGACGGAGTCTCGCTCTGTCGCCAGGCTGGAGTGCAGTGGCGCGATCTCGGCTCACTGCAACCTCCGCCTCCTGGGTTCAAGCAGTTCTCCTGCCTCAGCCTCTTGAGTAGCTGGGATTACAGGTGCATGCCACCACACCCGGCTAATTTTTGTGTTTTTAGTAGAGACGAGGTGTCTTCATCTTGGCCAGGCTGGTCTCTATCTCTTGACCTCATGATCCACCTGCCTTGGCCTCCCAAAGTGCTGGGATTATAGGCATGAGCCACGGCACCGAGCCCTAGATTTTTAAAGTGTGAAATAGATTTAGGCTGCCTTTTATAAAGAAACCTTTGGAAATTTCTAAACTTACCTGAACAGAGGAATGGCTATGGAAAAGGCATTAATGACTGATTGATTCATGGAACAACTGATTTACCAAAACTTTTCTCCTTCTAGATAAAGTCAAGGTGCAGTAACAATATCCCTGTAGTAATGCTGATGTGATTTCTAGAAGTCTGTTTTAACTGATGAGGTAATATAAAAGGAAAAAAAATGCCAGAACTAGAGTATTATAAAATCCTTCAGGGTCTCCCCATAAATTCCAACCCCCTTACCATGACTGTAAGATTCCTGCCTGGCTTTTCAGGCTCAGCTTTCTTCAGTGATTCCTGCCTTCCTTGCTTCACATGGTGGATTAGTGATGCCTGCATGGTCCCATCTCTCTGGCAAATCCCTGACTCCACTCACAGAGGTAGATTTTTTTTTTTTTTTTTTTTTTTGAGATGGATTCTTACTCTATTGCCCAGGCTGGAATGCAGTGGTGTCAGCTCACTGCAACCTCCACCTCCCAGGTTCAAGTGATTCTCCTGCCCCAGCCTCCGGAGTGGCTGGGATTATAGGCACTCACCACAACACCTGGCTAAAATTTTTGTATTTTCAGTAGAGAGGGGTTTTGCCATGTTGGCCAGGCTGGTCTCGAACTCCTAACCTCAGGTGATCCACCCGCCTCAGCCTCCCAAAGTGCTCAGATGACAGGGGTGAGCCACCACACCCAGCCAGAGGTGGGAGGACTTGATGGCAGTGCCTCCCTACATGACCCTGTTCTTGGCTGTGGCTAATTGGTCCAGGAATGCACAGCTGACCCAACTCTAAGATCAGATTCTCCTAGCTTTCTTCTAAGATTACAGACTTCTAACAAAAACGGACACTCGGAAAGGTGTGAGTCACATTCATGACAACAGCCTAGAAGGGCCTGAGATGTGTGCTGCTCAGGGGCCAGTGCTATCAAGGTTCCTGCCCTTCCTGTGGAGTTCAATTTTTTCTCAGGGTTCCATAAGATGCTTTGGCACTCTTCCAATGGATTCTTTTTTTAAAAAAATCCCAACCACTAGACCACCAGGGACTGATGGATTCCATTTGTGCTTATTTTAGCTCTGGTTAGCTTGTTACTTACAACACAAAGGATCTTACATACAGAAATAGTACAAGGCTTCAGAGGAAATGTGAGGTATTTGGAGTTGGTATTCATCTCAAAATGCAAGGAAAGGAAAGGCATCTACTCTTCACCATGTGGAATGGGCAACTATACTTGTGATACGATATCTGGGATTTGCTTCAAAGTCATCCAGTTAGGGTCAAGAAGCAGGTATGCATATACACAAAGCAAGACTGGCCATGAGGTAATCAGTATTGAAGCTGGATTTCAGATACGTAAGGATTCATTATATAATTATCACTATTTTTCTATTGTTCTCTGAAATTGTTCATAGTATAAAGTTTTTAAAAATCTAGTTTTCAGCCGGGTGCAATGGCTCACGCTTGTAATCCTAGCACTTTGGGAGGCTGAGGCGGGTGGACCGCTTGAGCCCAGGAGTTTGAGATCAACTTGGGCAACGTGGTGAAATCCTATCTCTACAAAAAGTAACTAGGCATGATGGTGTGCACCTGTAGTCCTAGATGCTCAGGAGGCTGAAAGGCAAGGAGCTTGAGCCTGGGAGGTCCAGCCTGCAGTGAGCCGTGATCATGCCACTGCACTACACCCTGGGCAACAGAACGAGCCTGTTTCAAAAAAAAAAAAAAAATCTAGTTTCACTTAGAACCATATGTTGATTGGGGGTGAGACATTGGAATACTGGATAACTGTCATGGTAGAATAATTTAAGGAGGATGAGAAATATGGAATGACAGAAAAATGGATAATTTAAAGTAAGACAATATAAAGCTCAGATGCTAGAATGTGCAAGGCATTAAAATATAGGGCCACCATTTTTAATAAATCTTACTCTGTCTGTGGCCCTCAAGTTCATAAATTGATTCTGTAGGTTGCTGAATTGCAACTCCAGTTGGATTAATATTGCATCCAATCTTTTATACGAAATCCAGGGCATTGACTAGGAAAGAGGGGGATCTTGGAGAACAGACAGAACTGAAGAAGTCAGACTCCCCCAAGTCCTTTTAAAAACGTTACCATGGCGTCCCTTTGCCTAAAGAAAACAGAATTCCACTCTCCTGTGCTCTGTGTCCTACCATGTCTTCCTGTGACCAGGATTCAAACTCAACATGAGCCAGAGGGCAATGTTTAGAATCAGAATCAGCAAGCAAGTAATTATACTCTAAATGATTTTTTTTTTTGTTTTTGAGACCAAGTCTTCTCTGTCACCCAGGCTGGAGTGCAGTGGTACAATCTCAACTCACTACAGTCTCCACCTCCAGGGTTCAAGCAATTCTCATGCCTCAACCTCCCAAGTAGTTGGGATTACAGGTGTGCACCATCACATCTGGCTAATTTTTGTATTTTTTAGTAGAAACAGGGTTTTGCCATGTTGGCCAGGTTTGTCTTGAACTCCTGAACTCAACTGATCCACCTGCCTCGTCCTCCCCAAAGTGCTGGGATTACAGGCGTTAGCCACCTCACCTGGCCAATCCCAAGTGAATTTTTAAATTTTCTGTAAAGAATGTCAGAGAAACCCAGGAAGGATATGCGGATATGGCCATGAAGGGTGCATGACCAAAGGTAGCATACCTTGTTTAGGAACAAACCAAATAAATGAAGATGGACACTGAGTAAGGTAGCTATAATTATTTTTATTGGTTCATTCGGCAATATTTCTTAACTTCTGGGGAAAATACATGGTATTGCCATTTCTTAATTATCACAGACACTGAACTTAAAAATTAAAGGAAGTTTGTTGCACATGCTTTTTTAGAGACACGACAATTCTTGAGTGCCTTCCTTGGCCTTCACCCGGATTCCCGCAAGCAGACAACTTCCTCTGAAGCAGCCTTATTTTGTGTATCCTTTCACCAATCAAGGATCAGGGTGTGTGCTCCTTGGTTGCTAAAACCTTTTGAAGGTGACAAAAGGGAAGAGTTGAGTGTGGTATAGGGATGAGGGGCTTGCAAGAGCAGAAAGAATTCCCCAGCTAAGCTAAGCTGATCCCCCTGGAAGCCTGTCCTGCCAGAGCCAGCTGACTCATTTCACAGGCAGGGTCTCCCCCAAGCCTCTTGCCTCAGCCTTTCCTTGCACTGTCTGGATTCAGAAACACTTAGAGATTTAGGGATATGGCCAAATAGATGGGGTGGATCACTGATGTGTGATATGATTTGAGGGAACGCCTGTGGTCCCAGCTTTCAGATGGCAACATGTTGGAGTACTATTCCACTAGGATTGTTGTGATTTAGAAAATACTAGGTTCCTTTCTTCCCTTTTCTCTATAACCTCTAAATCTCTATTCTGTGTCTCACTATCAGCTGATGATCTCACTTCATTGAGAAAATGAGTAAACAGAAGGAAACAATCTTCCTTTGCAAAATCCACTGAGCTACTTTGACATACACCCATGTACGCAGCCTTCCCACTTCATACAATGGATAGTGTCCTGTCCACCTGAGTCCAGGGTGCTGCCTCCTCACCTGCGGAAGGACTCTGCCCTTCTATTATGCCCCTCTCTCTCCAGCATCATCAAATCTCCCTCTCTACAGGAGCATTGCCATCAGGAAACATACATGTTATAATATCCATATAGCTGATAAAAATGTTCCCTTGCCTTACCCTGTCCAGCCACTTTATAGCAAAACCCCACAAAAGCATTGCTTATTCTGTCGCCACAGCCTCACCCCATCACTCCTGAACCCACTCTAATCAAGCTTTCCTTCCAGCTGCTCCACTTAACCTCTCTGATGAAAATCAGCGGTTATGCATACATCTCCCCAGTCCTCATTTTACCTCCCTCTCAGCAGCATTGCCACATGGCTGAGTGCCCTCTTTTCTGAAACTCTCTTCTACTGGGCCTCTGCAGCAGCACACACTTCTGCTTTTCTTCCTTCCATACCAGCCTCTCACTCCCTGCATGTTCCTTCACCAGCTCTGCCTCCTTGCCCCAACCTCTAAATCTTGGCATTCCGCAGGACTCGCCTTCAGCCCTATTCTCGTTGACACCCCCAGGTGATCACATGATTTCAAGCAGCATTTATATGAGGATGACCCTCAAACACCTATCTCCACCCCCAGTCTCCCATGAATTCCAGACCTGTACATCCACCTGCCTACTGCATATCTCCTCTTGGGTATGGGATGGGCATATACAAAGATACTGAAATTGATCTAATTTTAGTCGCAGTATCTCTTGAGGTGATAGAGGCTATGTTCCTAAGAATGAAGTAGTGGCAGTTCCATCAGTTGCTTAGAGCCAGAGACAGTCCTAAGCAAACAGCTGGAAAAGAAATCATCCAGTGAGAAATTGAGCAATAGGAATTTTCTTTGAAAATCACTTGGAAGTGCCCCATGAGAGAAACCATTAGCTTCAAACCCCTGCCCAGCCCAGAGACTGCCTTCAACTAAAACAGATGAACATAAAATAGCTAAGAACTTTCCTGCCCATCCATTTCTTCTCTTTCCTCCCTCCCACTATGGACTCTGAGGAGATTAGAAATCACAGTGGCAAGAAACAGGGGTAAAGAATAGGACAGTAACAAGGGAAATGGAGAAGACATTTACCTCCCTTTTCTTTCTTGTAGTTCCAGCCTCAGCAGCCCCAAACCGGAGGAAGGGGACCTTAAATGAAGATTGAAGCATTGGTCATTAAATTATACCAGACTGACCATGTTAGTTACTGAACAGACTGTCTTCATAACCAGAGGCTTTTTATTATCTGAGAATGCCCAGGGCAGGGGAAAAGCTAATCCCAACAGAACAGGCTTAAATGGACAGTGAGAGGAAGAGTTCAGTTGCTGGAAAATCACACTCTACAGATCCTCCTCCTGTGTTGTAATGATTGCAATGGAATCAGCCCCAAACACGATTATTCCTCGCTTCTGTGCTTCTCTCCCTGCAAACTTGCTTTCCTCCCAGACCTCCCTATGTCAGTGACTAGGACCACAATCCATCCTGGCCCTTCCACACTGATTTCTTGCTTTCACCCACTTCCACACATGAATGAGCTCTGCCAGCTCCTCTCAACCTGTGCTGGAGTCTGGAACGCTCACTGCCTGATGGCCCTGCCTCGGCTCCAGCATCCACAGTTGTCTGTGCAACAGCCATGTTCTTCTTTGTAAAATGCAGATTAGATATTATTTCTCCCCTACCCCAAACCTCCACCTAGCTTCCCCTTACACTTTGGATTTTATTCTAACTCCCTCTCCAGACCTGTAACCCCCACCCACCTGGCTCCTGCCTCTGCTCCAGCCTCACCTCCCACCCTATCTCGGCACTCACCATCTTCAGCCTCCCACGTTTTCTTGCTGTTTCCTGAACACACCAGCCTCGCTCCCATCTCAGGCTCTTGCCTGGGCCCATCCATCTGCACAACACTCTTCCCCCAGGTCTCTGCATGTCTCACTCCCTGGGAGCCTCAGGCTGCTGCACAAACATCATCTCAGAGGGTAAATCTCCTCTGACTTCTCCACCTAAAACAGTCCCCCTCATTCGTCCTCACCCTCTCTACCTGCTCTGTTTTCCTCAATTCACTTATTACTAACTCACATGATGTTATGTGATTATGTGGTTGACTATGGTCTATTTCCCGGTCAAAAGGTAAGCTCCAGGAAATTGGAGCTGTCTGTTTTGTTTCCCACCGTGTCTCCAGCCCCTCAAACGCTGCCTGGCTCAGAGTTGGCATGTGTTAACATTTTGAGGAAGCAAGCAAATAAGCACATGGGAGGATACCAAAACATGGCAGTAAATGGAGCTAAAAACACAAAAGAAAAGGTAAATGCATTTTCATGGGTAAAAAAAGTAGCACCCTTACCCTTTAGAGATAGGAGTGGGGAAATAGTCAGAAAGGAAGATGGCAAGACTGAAGGATTCTCAGAAGACAGGACATTCACGTGCTGGTTTCTAACTGGGAGTGGGGAGGAAGGCTGTGACTCTAGAATACATGCCTAAAAGGCTGACCGGATGGGAGAACTGGAGGAAGAAGATCCACTTAGACCCAAGAAGGGTAGGCTGGGCTAGTGCAGACAAATGGCCACCAAGTTTAACTATCCTTACCCTAGGATGAGAAATCTGTGCTCTGTAAACACCTACATTTCTTTTTTCTTTCTTTCTTTTTTTTTTGATACAGAGTTTTGCTCTTGTTGCCCAGGCTGGAGTGCAATGGTGCGATCTCGGCTCACCGCAACCTCCACCTCCCGGGCTCAAGTGATTCTCCTGCCTCAGCCTCCCGAGTAGCTGAGATTACAGGCATGTGTCACCACACCAGGCTAACGTCGTATTTTTGGTAGAGATGGGGTTTCTCCATGTTGGTCAGGCTGGTCTTGAACTCCTGACCTCAGGTGATTCACCTGCCTTGGCCTCCCAAAGTGCTGAGATTACAGGTGCAAGCCATGGCACCTGGCCCAATACCTATATTTCTTAAACTTTACATTTTAAATGTTGGGACTTTTTTTCTTCATTTACTGCATATTTTATTTTCATTATGTTGGACTGGCAGAGGAAGGAGTCATGCACCAGGGTATACAGTTATCCTCTTGCATGGTCATTCAGACAGAACCAAGAATCCAGGTTCTAAATGTCTTTAGGTTCAGAATCTAGATCAGGGTCAGAAGAGGTTGACGGCTGCTGCTAGGGGCTGGGGACTGCACAGACAACGGCAGGCAATAGGCACGGAGCTTACTGTGGAGGGCTCTTGTCTGACACCCAAGAATCCTTCTTGGAGAATACGTAGGGGACCAATAGTAGAGCCTCAGAGCAGATGGGGGCTGATACTCAGGAGTTGGGGGAAGAATCATGTCTGCACAGAGAGGACCTGAAAAGGCATCATCCTTTTATCTGTATCCCAGAAAGCTGTGTAGGGCCTCTCTGTAAGGATAGGGCCAGGGCTGCTCCTTGGCCTCATTAGGAGTCCAGTATGAGCCCTGCAAACTTGTCAGCCGGAGACATCGGTGCCAGCTCTTCTTTATGCCCCTCTGCTTGACACACTGGGCAATTCCTCTGAATAATTCATGATTCTTCTTCTCAGCTTTTCAAATGCAAGAAATTCCCATTCATTTAGGAAACTCTGGATCTCCTGGTTACTCTAGGTTTTAATTAACTAGTCTGGGGGTTTTCTGGTTCCCCAGTTTGATTTTCCTCCTTTACTTCCAAGGCTTTCTGGTAATTTTGGTCTCAATCTCACTTTCTCCAATCTTATTCCTGAGTCTTCTCCCAGAATATTTCCACCAGTCACAGGGCCTAATCCAGGGTCCACAGAGAACAAGCCCTCGCTCAGCGCTAATGTGATCAGGAGTCACAAGGTGCCGAGTGAGGGAAGCGCAGGTGCTCCTCTCTGCTGCTGGCAATCTCTCCATATGGGGCTTTCACTTGTTAAATTTTACTACTTTCATTTAGTATTGGTCCTTTTGAAAATGTTCTACCTAACTCGACTGCCTTAAGGGGACCAAAATGTGGGGCCTGGCTTGGCTATGCCAAGTGGTAAATGGTAGAGACAGGGTGGAGATGGCGGAAGGAGAGAGATGGGGAAATCCTGGACAGCGTAGCTCACACACCTGGTGCACTCCCATCACGCGGCTCCACCAGGGGGCCCGGGCAGCTCTCTCTCCGTTCTCTCTGAATAAAGGGCACCTGCCCCTCAGCTGCTTCTAACCTATACCCCACTGCCTCCTCTCTTCCTGGAAGCCTGCCACACAGAGAGGTCCCAGGTGCTCAGGTTTTGGTATCAGCAATTGCCGCCTTATATATTATGAAATGGGACAGCCCCAGCTCTTACCCATCCTGGTCTTCCTCCCGTTCCACCTCCTGACTGAGGCTCAAGGACGAAAAATGCCCTTCAGAGGTGGCCTCTTTGACACTTGGATTCTTTGCCTCTCGATAACACAACGGTTCTTTTTCTAGACAGGATGACCCTTTGTTTCTGCAGGAAAGAACCAGAAAGGAAGGAATTCTCTTAACTCGCAACTCAACTGTAGCACTTATTTTTATTTAAATTTGAAGTGAGTTATATGGGAATTTATGTACTTTTGTCAAAATAAATGTATTTACTTTTTTTGTGAAAATAAACCCAAATAAATAGTATTGTCTTGCTCTAGTCATAGTTTCATCTGTAACCTCTGTGCTACTGAATCAAGCAGCTTTGGGTCCTTTGGAGTGAATGACCCCCTCACAGGGTTGTCCAGTTTGCCTTCCCTGAGAAGATCTAACTCTGCCAAAGACAAATAAGCCTTTTCCACCCCTGCTGCCAGAATTGGGATGCTTCCCTTATTCACAGAAGAGAATCCAGTCTTCCTCTTTCTTCCAGAAGGAGTCTAGACTTAAGCCTCTAGTCTAAAACATAAGCCCCCATTACTCCCACGATGTGATAGTCTCCTTCACATATGGGTCTTGCTCTGCTAGAAGATGTATTTCAGAACAAAATCTCTCCTTTTATATCATTTATCAAAATTAAATAGCATTAAGATGCTGATTATCCTAAGATCTTACCCAAGCAGGTCTATTTGAGACTCTGGCAATTAGGGATTGCAAAGGAACTTATTATATAAGAATGATTCTTAATTCTATTTTTTCAATCAATCATTCTATCTTTTATGGCCTTCAGCTACCAAGGGAATAGGGCTTAGTTTGGACACTTCCATTTTTCCCTCAATTGTGGCTCCTATTCAAGAGACACCCCAACAAATGATTAAACTACATCTCAAGGACAGTAAGCCCATGTTGGCCAGTGCCCACCCCAGCTATCACCCAGCTCCCAGGCCCTTGGGAGACAATTAGTCATTCTCTGTGCTGGTCATACCAGCATCTCCAAAAACCCTCCAGCTTCTGCCACACTGTATTTATTCAATAAATTCCAAGCTGTTCAGTAAAAGGAAACTACTGCAGCTTACTTTGGGCACTTTTTAGAAACAGAGAATTGAAGGCTGATCTCCTAGAAACAGTCATATAAGCTCACTTTTCTTCCACCTTCCTAGGTTATTTTTTTTATTGTTATCAACAGTTTTAATAAGGTATAATTTATATGCCATAAAATTCACTCATTTTGAGTATACAAGTCAATGGTTTTTAGTATATTTACTGAATTATGCAACCACCACCACAGTCTTATTTTAAAACATTTTCATCAACCCCAAGGCCCCTTGCTCATTAAGTCACTCTCCACTCCCATCCCCAGCCCTAGGCAACTACTATCTACCTTCTGTCTTTATAGATTTGCCTTTTCTGAACATTCTCTACTTAAAAAAAAATACCATAGGCTTTTGTTATTGGCTTCCCTTCACTGTGTACAATGGTTCTGAAGTTCATTTATGTTGCAGCATGTATCAGCATTTCTTTCCTTGTAATTGCCAAGTAATATTCCATTGTATGGATATACCACATCTTGTTTATCCATTCATCAGTTGATAGACATTTGGGTTGCTTCTGCTTTTTTGATTATTCTGAGTAATTATGCTATGAACATCCATGTCCTAGCCTCTATGTGGATATATGTTTTCATTACTCCTGAGTAGAAATCCAGGAATGGAATTACTGGGTCACATAATAATTTAATGTTTAACATCTTGAGAGACTGCCATGCTGTTTTCCAAAGTTGCCGCACCATTTTACATTCCCTCCAGCAATATCTTAGGGACAGCACTACTTTTAACCAGATAGTTACAAGTTACATAATTACGTAGAGACATCTCTTACTTTTAATTCTATAACTAGTTAGCTGAGATGATTCCCCACATTACATGCTTAGTATTTGATAGTATATACCACTTCTCTGTTTATAACATCTTTTCACTCTGGGCACAATATTGTAACAGCTACTACCCACCAAAATCAGTCCCAAACTCCATTTATACTACAATTCAATTTTAAATCTCCTACCCTTTTAGCTTTAGTACAAGTTGTTAACAATTTTTTTTCCATTTCTGCACTTGTTATTTCTGTGTTAGCTACTTGTTCTTTCAGACCAGAAAAGCCTGGGGAATGTTGCCACCTCACCAGACACAGTGGTGGGAGATGCCCGATGTCCTGCCACTATGGAGCCTGGTGTGTGCCTCAGCACTGTCTCAGCAACGTGAAAGGAAGGCAGGGGATGGCAGCACCACCTAGCATCTTAGCAAAAGAAGAGCAAACCTATGGAAGAGCAGACTTACTTGTAAATAACTGCTTTTCCTTCTTCCTGGGATTTCAGAAGAGAAGGAGTTCTTGCCAAGGGTTTCAAATCGAAACTACAGTCGTTAAAATTCACTTTCACCTTTAACCTTTAACAAGATAACAAATATGAGAAGGTTTTTTTGTTCTTTTTTGCTGTTGTTTTTTGAGACAGGATCTCTGTTGCTCAGGTTGCTGTGCAATGGTTGTGATCACAGCTCACTGCAGCCTCAATCTCCTGGGCTTAAGAGATCCCTCCCACTTCAGCCTCCTTCCCAAGTAGCTGGGACTACAGACATGCACCACCATGCCACGGTATTTATTTTTATTTTTTGTAGAGATGGGGTCTTGACATGTTGCGCAGGCTGGTCTCAAACTCCTGGCCTCAAGTGATCCTCCTGCCTTGGCCTCCCAAAGTACTGAGATTATAGGCATGAGCCACCACACCTTGTGGTATGAGAATGTTTTGAAAACAATACTAACTCACATTTATATAGGAATTATTATTATACACTGACTGCTAAATACAGAGACCAAAACATCATTCTCCAAACTGGCATACATTCTTGGATGAAATTAGTCGTTCTAGAGTTTCTGAAACCATGATGGAGATTGATTTACTATTTACAGAGAAGAAAGGATCAGCTTAAAGTTTAAAGTACTCCCTATCCACGAGAGCTTAAACTCCAAAGTAAAAAGAAGCCATAGAGATTGTGTTGTTTATAAGCATTATGTAAAATGCTTTTCTCCAGAGAAAATCCAAACATTCTACTTCCCGATACCTTACCATGGGGTGGCAGACAGGTACCTTAGAGTCCTCCAATCTTGCACCCATGCAAGGATTAACTGGAAGGGTGATACTGGCCCTGTGTAGAATATACATTTTGCTGGCACAAAGAAGACACAGAATGTAGTATAGCAATGTGTGAAATGCTTCAAGAAGAAAAGGATCCAAGCACCAAGATAAGAAAGCACTAAGAGCCTATTGGGAATGAACAAGCATATTGGGGGGAAAAGGAAATTTAAGAAATTAAAATCTTAAACACAGTGAAGAAAGAATTAGCACACTGGAAAATATATACAAAGAAATTACCAAGGGAAATGAAAAATATGAAGAATATATAAAAAGATATTAAGATAATAAGAAGTCCTAATATATCTAATCTGATCCCAGAAGCAGAATGCAAAGAATGAAGAAAAAGCTATGTTTAAAATGATAATTGCTGTATGTTTTCCCGAACTAATGATAAACATGAATACAGACATCCAGGAAGCACAACATATACACCAGTAGGTTAAATAAAAAGAAATCCAGCCAGATGCAGTGGCTCACGCTTGTAATCCCAGGACTTTGGGAGGCTGAGGTGGGCAGATCGCTTGAGTCCAGGAGTTTGAGACCAGCCTGGACAACATGGTGAAACCTCATCTCTACTGAAAATACAAAAATTAGCCAGGTGTGGTGGTACAGGCCTGTAGTTCCATCTACTTGGGGAGGTGAGAAGCAGTGATTGCTTGAGCCCAGGAGGTAGAGGCTGCAATGAGCCAAGATCGCGCTTGTACTCCAGTCTGAGTGACAATCAAAACAACAACAACCAAAAAACAAAACCCATACCTAGACACCGGCAGTGAGAATGCAGGACTCCTAAAGACAAAGAGAAGATCTTAACAGCAGCCACAGAAAAAGGACAAAAAATCAGAATGACAGCAGACTTCTCAAAAACAACAATAGAGGCCAAAAAACAAGAGAATTATGTCTTTAAAACATTAAGAGAAATAAATGTCAACCTAGAATTGTGTGCTCGTCAAATTATCTTTAAAGGTAAACAAAAATTGAATTTTAAAGGCTGAACTTCAGGAAAAGGAAAATGATCCCAGAAATTTGGTATAAAATGGAAGGAGGGACAGGATACATACTAAATTCTTTCCTCTTTATAGCTGTCTCCCATATCTATATCTGCTACATAACTGCAGAGAACTCCTATTGGTAACTTCAGATGGGATATATCCCTTTGGATGTACCCAAACTAGAGATCATTTGTTAAATTAATAAAATTATAAAAAAAGCATTGAGTGATTTAAATCCCAAGAAACTGTTGTTGTTGTTCCTCCTCATTCTTCTATTTTTATCCAAGGTTTTACCTTGGTCTGCTTTCTGTTAGGCTAGCTGACCCTTCTTTGTGTGTCCATAATAATATGCGCATATCGGCATTACTGTGTTTGCCACATTGTAATATAATAATCTGCTTAAATATGTCTTCTCTATTAGATTGTGAACTCTTTAAAGGCAATTACAACTCTATACATGATTATTTGATGGATGAAATAATGTAATAGGATGAATTGTGTGCACCTAGAAAAATATCTTCTAATCCTAATTCCTGGCATCTACAAATGTGACCTTATTTGGAAATAGGATCTTTGCAGGTATTATCAAGTTAAAATGAGGTAATACTGAATTAGGGTGATGGACCCTATCCCACTGACAGGTGTCCTTATCAGAAGAGGGGAATTTGGACACAGACACAGAGAGAAGACAATGTGAAGATGGAGACAGAGACTGCAGAGATAAGGCTATAAACCGAGGAATGCCAAGGACTGCCGCAACCACCAATAGCTAGGAAAGAGACAGGGAGCCTTCAGAGAGAGTGGCCCTACTAATACTTTGATGTTAGCCTTCCAGTCTCCAGCACTGTTGTTTTCAAGCTGCTTGGTTTGTAGTACTTTGTTATGGCAAGCCCAGTAAACTAATACATATGATAACAATTCTCAAAACTTCGAACTCCTCTCTGACTCTTAGTTCTCCCTGGCCTTCCAAATGTAGTCACCAAAATCTAGAATTCCTTTGTGTCATATCATATCAATTTCTTTGTTTCATTCCTCTTGCCACCACCCTGACTAAGGTTCTTATTGCCACAAACGTGGATTCTTATTAAAAAAAAAAATTCTTTAGTGATCAGTACTATCCTATATCCAAACTGTCATATATCTCACATGTCAGATTAAAGTTTCTAAAAACATCATCTCCAGCATCTCACTCCCTCCTCAGCTATCCTGACTCCCCATTCCCTACATGATAAACTCCCAACTCGTTAGCTAGTATTGAAGATTCTTTGCAAAATGGCTACAACCTAGATTCACAGACTTAATTAATGACTGACTGGTCTTCCATTCATTCATTACACAAACAAGTAAACAGGTGCAAACTGCGTGATCCATGAAAAAGTACATGGTGGGACAAAAGAGAGACTACTCTGTGCAGCCTAGTATAAGGAGGTAGTTTGGAATGACTTCAGAGAAGAATTTTTAAAGTGGCATTTTAATGGAGTCTTGGAAACAATGCCCCCCCCCCAAAAAAAGGAGGTTCAGGGAGAAAGCCCAGCTTGTGCAAAGGCACAGATGTATGAAAATACCATTTATTTAGGTAGTTGTGGAAGACCTCGTATTGTTGGAGTACAGAGTAGAAGGTAGAGAAAAATCAGCCCAATCTTATATGTCATACTAAAGAGATCACATTTAACAGAGGGACACAGGAGTCACTAAAGAGATTAAGTTGGGCAGTAACATGACATGCCACATTTCACCCCGGTAGCACCATGCAACATAAGGGAAAGTATGGCACTGTGTTTCAGAATGTAGACTATGGAGTCAGAGACCTGAGTTCAGTTTCTGAGTCTACCACCTTATGGCTATATGGCTATAAATAAGTGGTTTCAACCTGGTGTGTATTGGAATCATCTGAGGATCTTTAAAAAGACTGATTTCTACATACCACCCTCAGAGATTCTGACTTCATTTGTCTAGGGTATGGCTTGGCTGTCTGAGTTTTATTAATTTGTTTATTTATTTAGAGACAGGGTCTCACTCTGTTGCCCAGGCTAGAGTGCAGTGGCATGATCTTGGCTCACTGCATCTCCACCTCCCAAGTTCAAGTGATTTTCCTGCCCCAGTCTCCTGAGTAGCTGGGATTACAGGTGTGCACCACCATGCCCAGCTAATTTTTGTATTTTTAGTAGAGACAGGCTTTTACCATGTTTGCCAGGCTGGTCTCAAGCTCCTGACCTCAGATGATCCACTCATCTTGGCCTCCCAGAGTGCTGGGATTACAGGCATGAGCCACCATGCCCGGCCAGAATTTTTTTCTTAACTTTCCAGGATATTCTGATATAAAGCCAAAGCTAAAAACTACTGCTCTAAAATTGACAAGGTACTTAAGTCATCTGTGTAATACTACCTATCAAATAAAGTTTTTATAAAGATAATACAAAATTAGCACATGTTAAGAAGTGTATAACTCATTCTATTGATCAGCAGATAAAATATTCTCCAAGATAAACCATATAATAGGCCAAAAAACAAGTGTCAGTAAATTTAAGAAAATCAAAATTATATCAAGTACTCTCTCAGACCACAGTGGAATAAAATTGGAAATCGACTCCAAAAGGAACCCTTAAAACCACACAAATACATGGAAATTAAATAACCTGCTCCTGAATCATCATTGGGTCAACAATGAAATCAAGATGGAAATTTAAAAATTCTTTGGACTGAAGGATAATAGTGACACAACCTATTATAATCTTTGGGATTCAGTAAAAGTGGTGTGTAGGGAATCCATGAGCCCTACATGTTGGGTGCCAGAATGCAGGGATCCATGAGCCCCAGGTTGGGTACCAGAATGTAGGGAGCCAGCCCTATGTCACCCATGGGTACCCCGAGTTCAGTGGCGACAAAGGAATGAGAAAAAGACAGATTAAGAGAGACAGTGGGACCAGGGGGCCATCACTTATTACTTTGGAGGAGGCAATGAAGGCTCCAAGCTCTGATCATCCACACTATTTATTGATTACCATCACTTTGATCTATAGGGTAGGGGTGGAGTGATGGTGGGGAGAGGGTGATGGTGGAGTGAATGAGTGAACCAGAACTGGTGTGTCATTCTAAGGACTCATAACAGTGGCAGTTTGGGAGTTTCACAAAACAAGAACATGTAGTTATCTTTAGCCTGTTATCTATGTGGAACACGGGTCTTACAAGGAACCTACAAGTCTGGCTACTTCATAGTGCTACAAAAGGGTTTTACATCCTTATCACAATGTTTTTAGTAACAGAG